AAAACTCTGGATTCTGATAGAGGGCCATGAGACTTAGACCTGAGTGCAAAAATGGAGGCTCTAGACCCTTCCAGAGCTGAGATATCGAAACTCAAAATTTCGACCCGAAAAAAAAACGACAGTGTTACCCCTTACGTTTTTTTTTTTGGGCGAAAAATTAAGTTTCCCCAATCTTCTCAAAACTCTGGATTCTGATAGAGGGCCTGAGACTTAGACCTGAGTGCAAAAATGGAGGCTCTAGACCCTTCCAGAGCTGAGATATCGAAACTCAAAATTTCGACCCGAAAAAAAAACGACAGTGTTACCCCTTACGTTTTTTTTTTTTGGGCGAAAAATTAAGTTTCCCCAATCTTCTCAAAACTCTGGATTCTGATAGAGGGCCTGAGACTTAGACCTGAGTGCAAAAATGGAGGCTCTAGACCCTTCCAGAGCTGAGATATCGAAACTCAAAATTTCGACCCGAAAAAAAAACGACAGTGTTACCCCTTACGTTTTTTTTTTTGGGCGAAAAATTAAGTTTCCCCAATCTTCTCAAAACTCTGGATTCTGATAGAGGGCCATGAGACTTAGACCTGAGTGCAAAAATGGAGGCTCTAGACCCTTCCAGAGCTGAGATATCGAAACTCAAAATTTCGACCCGAAAAAAAAACGACAGTGTTACCCCTTACGTTTTTTTTTTTTGGGCGAAAAATTAAGTTTCCCCAATCTTCTCAAAACTCTGGATTCTGATAGAGGGCCTGAGACTTAGACCTGAGTGCAAAAATGGAGGCTCTAGACCCTTCCAGAGCTGAGATATCGAAACTCAAAATTTCGACCCGAAAAAAAAACGACAGTGTTACCCCTTACGTTTTTTTTTTTGGGCGAAAAATTAAGTTTCCCCAATCTTCTCAAAACTCTGGATTCTGATAGAGGGCCATGAGACTTAGACCTGAGTGCAAAAATGGAGGCTCTAGACCCTTCCAGAGCTGAGATATCGAAACTCAAAATTTCGACCCGAAAAAAAAACGACAGTGTTACCCCTTACGTTTTTTTTTTTTGGGCGAAAAATTAAGTTTCCCCAATCTTCTCAAAACTCTGGATTCTGATAGAGGGCCTGAGACTTAGACCTGAGTGCAAAAATGGAGGCTCTAGACCCTTCCAGAGCTGAGATATCGAAACTCAAAATTTCGACCCGAAAAAAAAAACGACAGTGTTACCCCTTACGTTTTTTTTTTTTGGGCGAAAAATTAAGTTTCCCAATCTTCTCAAAACTCTGGATTCTGATAGAGGGCACTGAGACTTAGACCTGAGTGCAAAAATGGAGGCTCTAGACCCTTCCAGAGCTGAGATATCGAAACTCAAAATTTCGACCCGAAAAAAAAACGACAGTGTTACCCCTTACGTTTTTTTTTTGGGGCGAAAAATTAAGTATCCCCAATCTTCTCAAAACTCTGGATTCTGATAGAGGGCACTGAGACTTAGACCTGAGTGCAAAAATGGAGGCTCTAGACCCTTCCAGAGCTGAGATATCGAAACTCAAAATTTCGACCCGAAAAAAAAACGACAGTGTTACCCCTTACGTTTTTTTTTTTGGGCGAAAAATTTAGTATCCCCAATCTTCTCGAAACTCTGGATTCTGATAGAGGGCACTGAGACTTACACCTGAGTGCAAAAATGGAGGCTCTAGACCCTTCCAGAGCTGAGATATCGAAACTCAAAATTTCGACCCGAAAAAAAAACGACAGTGTTACCCCTTACGTTTTTTTTTTTTTGGGCGAAAAATGAAGTATCCCCAATCTTCTCAAAACTCTGGATTCTGATAGAGGGCACTGAGACTTACTCCTGAGTGCAAAAATGGAGGCTCTAGACCCTTCCAGAGCTGAGATATCGAAACTCAAAATTTCGACCCGAAAAAAAAACGACAGTGGTACCCCTTTCGTTTTTTTTTTTTTTTTTCGGGGAAAAATTACATTTCTCCAATCTTCTCAAAACTCTGGATTCTGATAGAGGGCCATGAGACTTAAACCTGAGTGCAAAAATGGAGGCTCTAGACCCTTCCAGAGCTGAGATATCGAAACTCAAAATTTCGACCCGAAAAAAAAACGACAGTGGTACCCCTTTCGTTTTTTTTTTTTTTCGGTTGAAAAATGAAGTTTCTCCAATCTTCTCAAAACTCTGGATTCTGATAGAGGGCCATGAGACTTAAACCTGAGTGCAAAAATGGAGGCTCTAGACCCTTCCAGAGCTGAGATATCGAAATTCTAAATTTCGACCCGAAAAAAAAACGACAGTTGTACCCCTTTCGTTTTTTTTTTTTTCGGGTGAAAACTGAAGTTTCTCTAATCTTCTCAAAACTCTGGATTCTGATAGAGGGCCATGAGACTTAAACCTGAGTGCAAAAATGGAGGCTCTAGACCCTTCCAGAGCTGAGATATCGAAACTCAAAAATTCGACCCGAAAAAAAAACGACAGTGGTAACCCTTTAGTTTTTTTTTTTTTTTTTCGGGTGAAAAATGAAGTTTCTCCAATCTTCTCAAAACTCTGGATTCTGATAGAGGGCCATGAGACTTAAACCTGAGTGCAAAAATGGAGGCTCTAGACCCTTCCAGAGCTGAGATATCGAAACCCCAAAAAACCGTCTCTAATTCAGCGCATTTGTCTGTTAACTTTTCAGAGCGCCTTCAGTCAAATCCATTCCACTTGAGCAATTATGGAATTAATTTTCAGCCAATAAAAATGAACGTAACTTTTCAAGAAACTAATGAAAATATAAATTGAAACTGAATAAAATATCTTTGAAACTGAAAAAGAATGAACCGCAAGCAATTTTTTGACTTTGTTTTTAATACACTACATGTTTTGCTAACTATTCCTCATATTTCGTTTACTGATCTACACTTACAAATGCGCTTCCAGAGTTTTCATTTACGCTTCTGAAGTTTTCGTTTACGCTTCTGATGTTTTCGTTTACACTTCCTGAGTTTGCGTTCGCTGTCCTGACACAAATCTCTCGTGGGAGCGGGATAGTAGCAGTGTATTCTCATTGGCTACTGAGTTTTTGATTGACAGCTTCTTGACCTGGAAGTGAAGACGTCAGTGAGTGTTGTGTTTACACGTGTCAGACTGACGAGCCCTGCAACTTTAGTGGCTGTGCATCGTCTCATTTTATTATGACTTTCAACTGTCTGTGGTTACAAAGCATTAAATGGCAACGAACACAGCTCAGCCAATAATAGACAATAACTGGAAGTGTCCGTTCTTATAGAATGTGTTTTGAAACTGACACTAATTTTTATTGATACATGACCTTAAGAACTCAGTCTGTGGTCTCTGGTGTATTTTTTGCTTCATAATGCATATTTTTTTCATCATAGCCTGACATTAGGCTATCAAAAAATTATTGAATTATTACAATTATTAAATTCAATTATTAAACAAGATTTTTAATGAATAGCCTACCTGGAATAACAAATGATAAAATACATATATTTTAAAGATTCAGCAAAGAAAACACTCAGCCATCACTGAAATAACATAGGAAATGAATACGGGTCTTTTTTAGACCCATGTTGCGCATTAGAAGGGGTATCCATAGCTTGCGCATCAAAGGGTTAATTTGCTTTTTACACAATGGAGTCCAACTTATTGTAATAATTATTTGACTTAGACTATGTGTGTGACTGTGTGGTAATGTGGGTTGATATGGTTACAGTGCCAGGGATGCCAGTCTGCCGCTGCATATAGGCCTGCAATATGCATTATTCTCTGCATCAAATCATGCTATCTTATTCCCCACCCCAGCCCCTGATGTTTCGGGTTCAGCCCCTGATGTTTTTGAAACCTAGAAACGCCCCTGGAAATAGAGGTCCACCTACTTTTCTTAGGGGGGTTCATCAAGGTGGAGTAGCTATAGTTTAATTGTATTAACGACAATTTTGCACTTATTTTATCTACTCCAGTAAAAAAAAAAAAAAAAAAAAAAAAAAAAAAAATTCCGAAGGATGACCCACCCACATTTTTTTTTTGCTTCCCTGTATATATATATATATATATATATATATATATATATATATATATATATATTTATTTATAGGCCTATTTGTAATCAATTGTACATATAGTGTAGTCTGGAATTTAATAACTTGTGTTCACAGAGGGTGCATTTATTTAATCAAAAATATTGTAAAAATCGTTAATACTGTGAAATGTTAATACAGTAACACTTTACAATAAGGTTCATTAGTTAACTAAATGAGCAATACATTTGTTTCAGTATTTATAAATCTTTGTTCATGTTAGTTAATAAAAATACAGCCGTTCATTTTTTGGGGTCATGTTAGTTCACAGTGCATTAACTAATGTTAACAAATTACAACAACTTATTACTAAATATTGAAATGAATATTAACTAAGATTAATAAATGCTGAATAAGTATTGTTCATTCTTAGTTCATGTTAACCAAGGAACCTTATTGTAAAGTGTTACCATTATTACTGAGTAATATATTATTTGAATATTTTTTTCAAGATTCTTTGATGAACAGAATAAAAGAACAGCATTTATTTTGAAATAAGATCTTTTAATCAATGCAATGCATGCTTGCTGAATAAAAATATGAATTTCTTTTAAAAAAATAGTTTTGTATGGAAGCGTTTCATGGTTTCCAAAAAAATAGTGAGCAAAAAAAAAAAAAAAAGAAATGGTAATAAGAAATGTTTCCTGAGCATCAAATCCACATATTAGAATGATTTCTGAAGGATCATGTGACACTAAATGAATGATGGTGAAAATTACATTTTAAAAGATATTAAAATAGAAAATGTATATTAATGTGCTTTGCAAATGTAATATTTCACAATATTATTATTTACTTTTTTCTGAGACTTCAAGAATTTTTTCATTTAAAAAATCATTATGATTCCAAGCTTTTGAGCGTGTGCGTACGTGTATTTTTAATGAATTATTGGTCAGTGTTAATTCTTGTTTGTTCATGATATATTCAAAAGTAGCTAAATTTACAACTTTAAATGTCACAATTGTTTTATATTATGCAGAAATGATTACGCTGTAGTTAGTTAGTGATACCTAATGCATTAACCAATGTTAACACATTGAACCTTATTGTAAAGTGTTATTTTATTTCCCTTTTTTTTGAGGTTTATTACAGTCTCAACACTTTCCCCTCCCTTCAGTGACCCCTCCGATGATGGGCGGCCCCGTTCCCATGAACACAGACATGAGTGGCCTGAGCCCGACCAACCCCCTGCAGTCTCAGTTACAAATGGTGCCCTCCTCTCACTGCACACCTCCGCCACCCTACCCAATGGACAACAGTATTTCCAGGTACACAAATACACTCGCAGTAAGTCTCTCTAAAGTGGCACATACGTGAAAGGGAAATGGCGTTATCGTAGTTCTGTTTAAAAGCTTAACATGTCAATTGCAGTTTCCTGTTGAGGCTGGGCTGTTCAGCCTGTTTGGACTATTTCACAGCCCAAGGACTGACCAATATCTACCAGATTGACAACTACAACTTGGAGGTGAGGAATTTGCCTTTCTCCTTAGTGTCTTTTGTGTCTATGTGTCAGGTGCCAGTTAAGCACAGTAAACGTCAGGATTCGGAGAGATCAGAGCAGTGGCTGCTGTATTCATGAGCTCTGTGGTATTTCCATCCACAGGACTTGTCCAGGCTGAAGATTCCCACAGAATTCCAGCACATCATTTGGAAAGGAATCATGGAGTACAGGCAGACCATGGAGTTTTCTCCACCTCCCCACATCTTGCGCACCTCTAGCGGGACATCCACCGTCAGCGTGGGCTCCACCGAAGCCAGAGGCGAGCGTGTAATCGATGCGGTGCGCTTCACCCTCCGTCAGACCATTTCGTTCCCTCCGCGGGACGACTGGACCGATTTCTCCTTTGACCTGGCTCCCGATTCTCGTCGCAACAAGCAACAGCGCATCAAGGAGGAGGGCGAATGAACACTATACATGCAAACAACGGCAAGAGTGTACATTTACTGTACACACACACAAACACACACACACTCGGTTTCATATTAACACACTTGGTGTTGGTCCAGATCGTTTCACAGTTTTCCAAAGCAAGTGATGATTAAAAAAAAACTGTGAGCCTAATAGTCTAGTTCACTTAAACTTAAATGGGCAGATAAAATGCACTTAAAGTCCTTTACGGTTTCATTATCTTCTGGTGGATTTAGCTCTGGTTGTCATTTCAAGCCCCTTTATTGAACGCAAGCAGATGTGGCTGAGGGGAAATGGTGCTTTGCTAGATTGTTTTGTCATGTTTACTGTTTCTTGAGACAAAGCACTTAAGAAATGCTGTTACTACTCATAAAATACACACTGAACGTTTGGGGTTTCTTTCCTTCTTTTTAAATGTCAAATGGTATATTTCTACGTTATTGTTTTTTTTTGTATAAAAAACCAAAACATTTTCCTCCGAGCAGGAGCTTTAGTGTTCATTGTAATCATTGTTGAGAACTCCTTGCGGTTGAACAAAGTCATTTTTAAAAGGCTGACTTGTCAGTTTTGATTGTATGTATTTCGAATCGCACGTGGTTCTCTATTCTCGCAGAAAGTGTTATTCGTCTGTTTTTATTTGTGGTGTAAGACTGATGTTGTCATGTAGCCTCTTCTATGTAATACTGTAAACCCTTTGTATCTTTTATTTGTGAGTCGCAAACACTCCAATACTAGAATTGCAGTGTGTAAGTATTGAATTGAATTGCTTGAACTGCTGTTTACTGGCCCGTAAAGTATAAAAGTGATGTTTATTGGTTAATTGGCCAATGTGTTTATACATTGTCAATGCAATGTGGCTTCAGTATTTTTTTTAAACTAGTTTTCAAAATCGCGCGATACTCGTTGTTAGCCTGTTTGTCGCAATATTGTACAGTTTTTTTTTATTTCACTTTCACTTGACAACTGAGTTAACAATTCTTTATCAAACTATTATGGAATTATTGTAAATATGTTGCAATGTACTTATTTTGATATAAACCAAAAATAAAATATCATTTAACTTTTTTTTTTCTTTAATAATTTAAATCAATTATCCAGGATTCATTCAAATTTATTTAAACAGGAGATATTATCAGTAGCATTCTGTGGTTTTAACAGGCAATAAACAAAGGTTGGAAAGTTGAGCATTGGGGATGATCCTATGAACATCTTAATTTACAGGTCATGTTAAGAATCATTCTCATTTAAGACTTGCACTTGCATAGTGTGAAACTGACAAGACTATTTCCAGAAATGTTCTTAAGGTTACTTTTCCTCACATTGATTTGACCTCTCTTAAGGTTTATGTATAGATTATGTTTGATACTTGTACATAGTTTGTATACATTTATTTTGATGGACACTGGATTCACAAACCAGTTTTTCTTTAGTGCTTCAGCATCACATAATACTCAACAGATGCTGGTTCACTTCATTTAACTCAATTATTGGCATCTTCAACTTTCTCAATACATTCTCTCGTAAATTTGGCCATTGCTTATTGAGTAACCCATTTCTTTTTAATCTTGAAAGCAACAGTAACAAACAAGACAGCTTCATGGAACCAGGTGATCCAACAAAAGGTTAACAATTTCTGGGCATTTTAGTGAATCAATACAGATAGCAGCAGAGTTGTGTGGAAGTATAAGTGGCAGACTGGCGCAGCCTCTTGTGTAAGCAACCATACTTTCCAAATATGAAAATTAAGTATATATTCACCTCAATGTCTGTGATGAAGCTCCAGGTGAATTAGTCTGCTGTAAAAACACTGCTCTGATAAATGTCAAATGTTTACATGAGTATTCAGCAATATATGATGTTTACATCTTCGAATAGCAAAAGAATTAGTGACCTCAAACATTAAAGCAGAAAAAAGAGCAATGAGGTTCCTTGATTGAGGTTCCAAAACTGTTTTCTCAATCAGAGGACCTGTTTGAGACTCATATAAAACAGCTATAGCTCATTAAGGCTTGAGACAAATAGATAACAAATCTAACTTGCTTAATTAGGTCAGTTTCTCAAATCAGAAATCAAAATCACAAAGCAAAATGAACAAAAATCACCATTTCTAATGCAGGCTCATATTGACATCTCCATGCCCAAAGCTTTAGAACTCCCGTCAATCATGATGGCAACGTGTAGAAAGAGTCTTGACAGTATTCCACGTCAGTGTTGCCCAGGGAGGAGGATCATGACAAGAAAAAAAGAACAAAACAAAAAAAAGTGTGGGAATGCTTTACTACCCCCTTCCCTTTCAGGCTGTTTTGGTTGGAGCTGTGGCTGTCTCCTGGATGACCAGAGTGAAGCATTTCTGATGTCTCGGTCACTAAGAGCTCTCCATAGCATCTAAAACTTTCATGATTTGCTGTTTGATGACTTTAGTGGCGTCACCTGCGTCTGGAATTAAATACCTTGAGAAGAGAGGACAAGAAATATGCTTATGCTTACAATCTTGGAAACTACACAAAGACAAGTACACCAGATGACGTGTTGCATAAAAAAATAAATATTTGCATATACTGTTAAGTATGTAGCAGGGTTATCATTGACTAAAACTAGTAAAAACTATTTTATTCATTGATAATAAAAATTGAAAAAAAAATATATATATATTTTTTTAAATATTTAAAAAATTGGAGAAAAAAAATTAAATAATAGAATAAATGATACATTTTGCTTTGGCAACTAAATTAAATGCATTTATAGGCACAGTCTGCAAGTTTCACCACTAGAGGTCACTTAATGAAAGCAATAACAAAGGCGTGGCTTGATGGTGCCGTGAATGAGCGTGGAATCATGGGAGGTGTCATTTTCACCTCCACCGCCGATAGAAAGCCAGTCCCTCCAGGATTTCGCGGGCCTTTTTTGTGATTGTTGCGGCCTAAAATGCCTGATGTTGCGGCCGCTTTTTAAAAAAAGTTGCGATGTTCTTCTGCATGTTTTTATAGGTTAAAACGGCAAAGATAGATAGATTTTTACTTAAAATGCCCATATTATGCTTTTTGGCTTTTCCCCTTTCCTTTATTGTGTTGTTATATTTTTTTGTGCATGTTATAGGTTTACTAAGAGAGAAAAGTCCAAAGTCCACCCCAAAGGAACTTATTATGTCCCACAGAAAACACTGTTCATCATCTGCATCTGCTCTATTGTAGTCCAGAATTGACTTAAGAGACAAAGTCACACACTTTGTAACACACAAACAAACTAACTAACCATTAGTAACCATAAAAGGCAAAACAAACGTTTTAAAGACACAGCAAAACCTAACAAACTAAGCTTCTTTTTTTTTTTTTAAACAAGATCTGCACCTGCAAAAAAGTCAATGTGCAGAACCTCACAAACATTAAGCAGCATTTATGTTGAAAGATGCCAATACTAATAAAGTGCAAAATACAGTTTTAGGAATAGCCACTAAAGTTAAATGGTGGAAAAACCAAATGTTTGATAATGTATTTTAATATAGCTAATATAATATAATATAGCCGCATATCCAATAAAGCTGTTCTCATTTGATTTTTTTTTTTTTTTTTTTTTTTGTCAGGACAATAGAACGAGTCAGCTAGCTATTTTTTATGTGTAAAATTTTCTGAATTGAGAGAGTTTGGGAACTGGGTGAACTAATGCACTGTGATAGTAAGTAGCCTATTACAAGTGATAAACACAAGAAAAGAAAGGAAAATAAAATGGTCAAACTCAATTCTTTAAATATAAAACAAAAGAGAAGCAGATAAGTGATAAGTCCGTGGAAACAACACTGCTCATTCGTGTCTGTCAGCTGCCGTGCTGCTCCTCTACTGCAGCCGTTCACTGAACAGGGACGCAGAGAGAGGTGTGACGGCAGGGAGAAAGCAAACCTCGCGCTCGCAGGATTGTGCTGGCAACATTTGGTTACTGAGGTTTGTCCAAAAAGCCGCTAGATTTGTCTCTAGTCGCTTTTTTATATCACTAAATATAGCGACAAAGACTAAGTTGGCAACATTGGCCTTTTCTGTTATTTTTGTAGGTAGCCTAATGAGACGTTGGCAGTCCACATCTGCTGCGTCTTCTGAACAAAACAAGTGAGTTTGCTGACGTTTGACGACGCTTTGCAGGAGACCGCGGCGCGATGATTCGTCAAAGTTGCAGAAAAGTTGCGGTGATTTTTCAAAATTGCAAGGCGCACTGAATTCACGTGGATTTGTTGAAGTTGCGTTAATAGTTGCGATCGCGACATCCTGGAGGGACTGGAAAGCAATCCGTCGGGACTCAGGTAGAAACCATGTTCATATATGAGCTAATGTATTACTGTTTAACTTGGCCAAAACAATCATACCGAGTGTGTTGAAAAAGTTACGTTACTCTGTGCGTTCGCTCAGCAGCTAGTATGAGACGCTTGTTGCACATTACAATAAGCTAGATCAATATTAGAATATTATATAATTATAAAAGCTTGTGTTGCTACATGTAATGCAATTAATTTTAAAATATTGTATGTATATCTGTATTACGGTTACTACAAATGAATCTCTTTCTGATTATGCTATGTTAGCCACTTGACAAAATAGCGTTGTCTCTGAGGGATGGTACAAATATGTTCTTCAAGGAAAATCAAGAAAAAAAAAAAAAAAGAGAGTCGAACAATAAGATTAAATGTGTTGAGCTGTATAACAATGATTAGTTTTCTGTCGATAAAAGTATGTAAATATTTGCTCACCTGTTTAATAAAACGCATAATGTCTTTGTTATTTCCATGGTTTCTACGGAAGTAAATTCTACAGAAATCGAGGGTAACGCGGATATGACATCATTGTCAGACGATGCAATGACGAGCTGTTCCACTGGTTAAAATGGCAGAGGTCTCTGGATTTAAACATTTTTTGGAAACATTTGAGATAATGTAACAAAATATAACATTACATCGTTCTAGTAGCTTTTGGCTATTTTAATCCAAAAATCTTCCATGTTGTGCCTATAAGTTGAAGCACTTAAATTACTAATGGGAAATAATAATAATAAAAAACAAAACCTGAACAAACTAAAACTGAAATAAAAACAATTCAATCTAAAGAGGTAATATTTAAAGAAAAGAAAATGTATAAAAAAAAGACAGAAACACAAAAGACAAATAAAAAAAATATATAATTAAAATTAAAACTGAAAGTGTCAACAAAAGCCAATTCAAAATATTCATAATATATTTTTAAATAATAATATGAATATATATTTTTAAGTAAAAATACACAAAGGTCTCTTGGCGTCCTGTTGTCATATTCACCATACCTCTCTACAGCCACTATCTCCACTCCTGCAGCATTGTTGTTGCCAAACTTAAAAGTGATGAGTTCTGGATGCTTCTTCTTAGAGGTGATCTTCACCACAGAGTTTAGGGCCTGCCTGGACTGGATGTAAGCAAAACCTTTTCGGGCTGCGATCTCTCTCAAACAGTACATGTGTGTTGCAGTGATCAGCAGATGACTGGAAAATAAAACAATGGGATGATCAACCATAATGCGCACTAGAGCTGCACGATTCTAGATAAATCGAGAATCACATTTTTTTGGTTAAAATAGAGATCACGATTCTCACACTATTCTAAATAGACAACTAAACAACAGTCATTTAAAAAATACAACATTTAAACATTTAACATTTAAACAACATTTAAAAAATATTGAGTTCATTTGAATTAATACATTTTTATTTAATCTGTTTGAATGAATGAATGAATGATTCAATGACTTGCTCATTAAGACTTCACTTGTTTCACTAATGGAATAATGATATTATGTGGTTGAAAAGGCTGTTTGTGAAGCTTTTTCATACTATGATAACTACTCCCTCTGGGTCAGCGGCACACAGATTTTAACGTGATGGTAGTTTTCGAAGGTTTAATAGACATGGCTATTTACATCTATGAATAAGATCGTGTGGGTATTTGAATTAAGATTGTTATCTTTTAATGATTAATCGTGCAGCTATAAATTGCACCCACCAACCATCTATCAACTGGAAAGCCTCAGTCTCTGATAGGTAGTATTATTAGCATCACAGTTTTTCACATGCAACCGTATTATTACACTGAATACCTTGGCCAGAATATAACATAATTGTGTTACAATGTTAGAATATAACCTTGTTTGTTTTTTTAAATGGAGGAACTTATATATATATATATATATATATATTGTATATATATACTTAAACCTTTATTTTATGGTTTCACCTGAAGTGGAATCCCTGGAACACCAATCCCATGTCTAGTTCTGATGTGCTCAGACATGTGGCCTCACCTTGGGAACATGTGTCCAGTCTCCTTAACTTCATTGCATGGAATATGATGCTTCACATCTGGTTTGTTGATCCAAGTCTGTATATTGACAATCTCTTTCCTGTCATCATCTGATATTGATGAACTGTCAATCTCATCTAAAAGGAGAAGAAAAAAAGAAAACATGAGGAAATACACAGGGAGCTAAATATGAGATGACTGAATGTAGTGTACCAAAAGTTGAATTTATAAATAAATGTTATGTCTATTTAGCTTTCATTGATTTTTATTTCAGTTTAAGTGATTTTATTTCTTCAACAAATGAAAATTAGAAAAGTTGCTGTGGCAACTAACAGAAAAAAAAAAATAATAATAAGTTAAAGTTTTTCAAATGCCAACACTGGCTTATGTGTGTTTGATTGAAGTTTGAACTAAACTCTGCAGGAAAGTGCAAGTTGAGTTGCTTGGAGCAGGTTGAAAGTCCCTGGTTTAGATGGACCTATGCATTTACCTGTATCATACTCTTCCTCATCTCCAATGCTGAAAACAGGCTTCACACCCCTGTATGGCTTCCCTACCCGATCACTGCTGCTTACGTGCCTAAAGAAAAAAAGAAAAGGCATCAGAGGTACTTACAAGAGACACTAGAAGAATAAAGGTTTGACCTTCACAGTAGCATTGTCTTCCTTGTGCTAAAACAGGCATTCTAAGAGCATGGTAGTGAGATGAGGTGTCCTCTAGGATTAGAAAGATGAATACTGTTAGTTGGAAGAGAGGGAAGTTAACATGTCAGAGATGAGAATCAAAGTGTGGAAGGCCAGAGTTTACAAAGTGAATCCATTTTACAGTAAAACTTAACTTTAACATTAAAATCAAAATAGCCCCAGTCTTCCACAGCAGTGATCAAATCTGTGTAAAAACAATGAAGAACTGCTCCACACAAGTCAGGGGCATCAAAGAGGACTCGGACTTCAGGCTGTGAGACAGACACTGCTGGCATAAAACAAGGAAAGGCACAAAGTGGCAAATGCAGTGAAAGAGGTCACAACAGCCAAGAAAAAAATACATGTGTGGTATTTAATTCTGAGTGGTATTTGTGAATTCTACTACACATGCATATGAATATTTGGTAGTGGATGAAAAGGTCACAAACTCTAGAATATTACTCTACTCTGATGATATTCTCGGAATAATTTTAGCAGGAAACAGGAAATTCAAAAGACTGAATAGGATATTTGTACTATAGATGGAGGTGATGCAGATGCATATGGTGTTAGAGCATGAGTGTGCCGTTTAATCTGGGTTTTGAAAACCCCTACAATGAGCTAAAGCCGACAGCGCCACCTTGAGAGGGCAAGTTGCGGAAACCGGATGCACGCTGAAGAGGGCACAGACAAACAGTAATGAAGTCTTACCGATCCAGTATTCCCTTGTCTGGCCAGGGTAGATTGAAAGACATTCTAGTGTGAAATAACAGGGCATAGGTTGGGAGGATGATTAAAAAAGGAAGACTTAAGAAAATCAATCACTTTAAATAAATGTGTCTATGTAATATCATTCAAGTTACTTACTTAAGGGGTTTAAAAAAAGGGAGAGAGATCTGATCATTAAACCTTTTTACTTTTTTTTCTTCTCATCAATTGTTCTTTTTTTTTTAATCAAAAGACGGACATGTCTGCAGAGAAGGATGTGAAAGAATGCCTGTCTGGTGAACTGAAGATTAAGGATGCTCACCTGTCCACCGGTGTGGAAGTGTTTTCAATGAAGCTGATCATCTTCTCCTTCACATTAACTGACTTTGACTTGAGTGCAAAAGTCATTTTGTTGACAAGTGATTTAACTCCTTTGCCATCTGCACTGTTCAGTTCCCCCTGTACCAATATAAGAGATGGGCTGAATTAACTTAATCCAATTTGAGAGGCATTTGCTTATCACAATGCAAGTTGAAGGTTTTAATGGCTTGCTTTACATACAATGTCCACTAGATGGCACTGAATGCCAACCAGAAAATGAAAGGAAGATGCAGCGTATTTTTCAAAAGGGAGGTAAGCTGTTTCCTATGAATGTGTGTGAGACTTTAAATTCCTTAGCCACTATAAATTAACTAGAAGAATAACAGTGCAGAAAGCAGTAAAACTATTTGAGCTACAAGCCATTGTGTTTTAATTACAATAATAAATGTATCAATTGTACAGCTAAAATAACTCGAACCAGCACACAACGGAAGCCTTGGCCATGCATGCTCCTACCTAAAATGGTACTCCAGAGAAGTACCATAAATATCTTGAAAACAGATTAAGAAAATGATGAGTAGGGCATGGGCCACAAAAGCATGGTTTATGCGCTGCACACCCATTATGGTTACTGCACAATCGGATGATGTAAAGTGCATCTCTCGCACTCACATACACACTAAACTCACGTCAACTGAGCTGAGGCTACTGTGGGATCCTGAGGTGCTCACAATCCAGTGAACATAAACATTATCCGGCCCTTCAACATTAATATCTGCCAGGTGCTGCTGCAATGCTGAGAATAAAAGAAACAAAAAGGCAGTGAGTTTCATTTGCACAATAAAACTGCTTCTGTCACCATGTAAAACTGCTGATCAGTTTTTTTTATTTTATTTATTTATTTAAAGGCACACTATGTAAGATTTTTGGATCAAAATTTTGAAAAATCACTAGAACACCACCATAAAATTTTGTTAATTTGTGTACTTAAGAGTGTCCCAAATGTTTCTAACAATGCTTAAATCCAGAGAAATAAGCAGTTTGAACCAGGACATAGGCCGGGTCCATGCGTCTTCTATCAATTGACATTATACCCATGTTACCCTCGATTTTGTAGAAAGACCAAAGACGCTTTTAATAGACAGGTGACCAACTGTTTGGATATATTCATCCACAGAAAACTAACAATTGTTATACAGCTCAACACAGTCTTTTTGTTTAAATCTTGTTTTCTTGATTTACCGCGAGTACAATATTTACAATGCCGAATATCAATCTACTTCTAAGTGCCTCATATAGAGGCCGCCGAGCGAACGCACAGAGTAGCATTATAACAGCTTTCAACACACTCAAATGTATCTAATATGATGAAACAGTGCTGCGTTACCCTACAGAAGCAGCCTGTGGCATAATAAAAGCTCCACTGCTCTCTCGAGCTGTGTGTCGTGCTTGTCTCTCATTAGCAATAGCTCCAGCAGCTTTGTTTCGCTCAAACAGCTTTCATTCGTAACATTAATAAATCTTTAAGATATTACCGGTCAATGGATATGATTTCTGCCTGAGTTCCGTTGTATTCTCCACCGGCTGTAGAGGTGAAGACAACAACTACCATGATTCCACGAAATCAAAGCGTCATCAAGCTACGCCTTTGCTTTGAATAAACAACCTCTAGTGGCGAAAAGTTACGGGGTGTGCCTCTAATTGTTTGTCAATATTATATTTATCAACAGCATTTTGTTCCAAATTTGGCCAGAAGGTACAGTGCACAGATGATTAAAAGAGTGTTAATTTTGCAACTGAAAATAATACTTACCCATAAATCCACCTTTTGCTATGCTCACATACTCTTTATTTTTCTAGACAAAGGAAAGAAAAATAAAGTTCTAATAGTTATGAAATTCTTTGAATAATAATTTACACAACAATTCAAGATGTAGGAGCATACAAAGTTCTCACCTGTAGAAAGTGGGCAAGCACCATGTTCATGTACATGTCCTCCTCTTCACGTCCACTGCCCATGAAGCAAAGATGCTCTCCGCTGGCCACAGAACCCGACTCCAGAGACTGCTTCTGTGCCTCCAGAAGAGACTTCACTGACAGGGCAAACTCAGAGGGGTTATGGAGCATCTGTAAACCAAGACAAGGTAGTGAAGGACCGAGCTGTGTAACAATTCCTCTGTGAGGCAGCTACACATAGTATTTTTGTGGAAACAAAGTGGATCAGAATCTCTATTTGACCAATTCATACTTGGCCAAATATTTAATAATGCAATTGTATTTTCAAATCAAAGGTATTCTACTCTGCTTGCAAATATTCTTACCAGGTCAGAGTCCAAATGAAAGGCAGTGGAAAGGTGACCAGCATTGTACTGCTCTGCAGGACGGCAGTCGACTACAAAAAATCTCACACCCTCCTAAGTAGCATAAAACCGAAAGAATAACATCACTTGAAATAGCGCATCACATGCTGAAAACTGATTTTCTGTTGGTGATTCGCATGCACAGCTGGCAGAAATCAAGATGTTTTCAAGGTCAAAGGGTGTGAATTTGAAGAAATTGTTTTTTTGCAATGTGCATACATGGAGCACTTCAATTATGGGAAACTGAAGCTCAAAAATGCATCCTTGACACTCACAAGGATTTATTCTTACACATCAAGCACGTTTACCATATTTGATGTGTTCTATGTATGTGCGATGATCAATGTTTATATGTGAATAAATTAAATGTTCATCATATACAATGACCAAGTCTCTTCAGAAGACTTAACTGCTTAATTGATAAAGATTAATTTTACAATGTCTTTATGTACTTTTTGAAGAATAGCATGAAAACGTTAAAATATCTTCATTTGTCGAAGATCATGAAAATATATGAGGGAGTAAAAAGAGTAAATGACTAATTTAATTTCTGGGTGAACTATCCCTTTAATGTTGAGCCCTGATCAACAACATTAATAATCATTAAAGATGCTTTGGAGAGGTCTTCAACAGTAATCTTGGAGTGGGGACTCACAGGTTGTAGCTGGTTGGCTTGCAGGATCTCAGGGACGGATACGGGCAGACAGAGTGCTTGACTCAGGTCCATGTCCTCTTCTTTTAGGGCAACCAGACTGCTGCCAAACAGATTATGGTTTTCCTGCGCACAAATCAAATACTTAAAGGGTTAGTTCACCCAAAAATGAAAATTCTGTCAGTATTTACTCACCCTCATGTTGTTCCAAACCTCTATGTGTTTATTTGTTCTGCTGAACACAAAGGAAGATATTTGGAAGAATGTTTTAATCAAACAGATCTCATTCCCCATTGACTACCATAGTATGCATTTTTTCCTACTATGGTAGTCAATGGGGAATGAGATCTGTTTAATTAAAACATTCTTCCAAATATCTTCCTTTGTGTACAGCAGAACAAATAAACCCAAAGAGGTTTGGAACAACATGATACAACAAACCTATTAACTATTTTAAAAGGTATTACATTTGAGGGTGGAAAACAGGAATTGTGATTCAGACAAACTTTTAAATGATGCTATATGGTATTAAAATATGTTATTGCGATGCACCACAATTTCTGATCTATTGTGATGTGCATCATATCTATTGGAAGTTGGAAATAAGAAAAGGGATATAATGCTTACCTTTCTAAGCGATAGAGGCGTCTTGCTGTTGTAATACTGTGCTAAAGAGAACAAGTCTTCAATGTCCTCTGCCTCTAGTAATGATGGGGACAGCTCCAGCATTTCTGAGAAAAATGAATATTGCAAAAATTAGAGCTGTACACTTGTCACAATGCAACAGGTTTTTGTAATGTATTTGTATTATATTAAAAATGCATTAAATTAAACAATTAAAAGTAAAATATTACTGATTATCTCCTCTTTGCCATCTCCTTCTTGGGAAAGAATGTTGTCTCTAGACATCAGAAAACAAAGAAAAACATCTTTTGACTTGATCTCATTAACAGGCGAGTAAAACTACCTTACTGTAGTTCATTAAAGGGGTCCTATTATGCCTTTTTCTTTACTGTGTAATGTTGCTGTTTATGCATGAAAATGGGCTACAAAGTTATAAAGCACCACAAAGTCCACTCCAAAGGGAGTTATTCTCGATAACATTAAGCAGGGTTTCTGAACTATGTACAATGTAGTTACAATGTGCAATCGGAACGTACATGTCAAAATATATACCAGTTATGGTAAGGGCCTTACATTTCTGATACATGCTTTAAGTGGTAGACCAACTTACTGTATATAATTAAAATATAATGAATTACCGGACATTGGCCGGGAAAAAATTAAATGTCTGACAAAATTAAATCTCTCTGGTCAAATTGTCTGATAAAAATTGTGTAATAATCCCGCCCCCTTAACACAATATGAATTTGCCTAAAATGTGTAAAGCAAAAATACACAACGCGTCCAAGTGAAGATTGCGCAACTCGCACAACGTATCGTCCATGCAACTGATAAATCTCTTATTTAATAGCGAACTAAATGAATGATCTGCTGGTTAACTGGAGGTGTTTTATTTATTTGTATTAGGTACATCCATGCCTCAATGTTTTTAAAAAAAGGGAATGTGTGTGAAACAGTAAAAAAACAATTGGTGTTGATTGACGCCAATCAGACGTTCATGTTTTTTCCGTCTATTTGAAAGGTATACTAATATTATGTTGCATTCTATACAGCCTGATTATATAATTTTTTAAGTTATATAGCCCTGCCTCCAGTTTTCCTCAACTTGACTAAGAGGCGATATTTGACCGGCATATCATCAAAACCATTTTTTTCTAGCAGAAACTCTGGTATGAACATATTTAGTAGATGCCATAAACAAAATTATGAAACTGTGAATGAGCATAATAGGACTCCTTTACACAACTGAGTGCACTGAACAGTCCTGAACTGTCACATACTTGGCGTTGACAAGGATGATGAGCAAGAGGAAGAAGATGAGAAAAGGGTCAGCCTGTTGAAGATAAACATCCCACAAGGCCTGTGTTACCTCAGGGAGACAGTGGCTAGAAAAGAGACTGCCCAGCTACAAGAAACCGGAATACAAAAAACAAAAAAAATATATAAGTGTCAGGTTCTTTAGCAAAAAAAGATAAATGTATATTTGATTAATTCTAGGAATATGACCATTACACTTTTTTTTTCAAGCTCCATAGCACGTACAAGTTACGTATAGTTTATATACTAAGCTAGGGGTGTCCATTGTCCAACCATGCTGCTGGAGGGCCAATGTCCTGAATACTTTAGCTTCAACCTTCATTTAACACACCTGCACCAGTTAATAAAGGTCATGAGTATTAGTAGGAACTTCCAGAAGGTGTGTTGGAGTAAGTTTGAGCTAAATTCATTGGCCATGCACAAGCAGGTTTGGACACTCAAACTCAATCAACTATAGACAGAAAAAGACTGACCCAACTGATGGCGTAGGAATCAGGAGTGATCTTTTTTGTATCCAGGAAGGAGCAGAGTTCAGGCTCATGATACTGCAAAAGGAGCCTGAATAGGTGAAATGGCCGTCCTTTCACAAAACAGTCTCTGCAAAGAACAAACGATATGACTAACTATAACTATGTTACATATAACTATGTAACATATACATATAACTATGACTAAATCAAGGAAACTGATACACAAGGCATGTATGTTCCCCCTCTGCCAAACTAAAGGCTTTCACAGTTAAAGTTGGGGGCATTTAATCACCTTGAAGAACACTGAAAATTTCAAAGCTGGTCTTTTGGCTTTTTAGACAAGACATGGTAATTTCAGGGTTATTCTACATAATAATAATTAATTTATTTTTAATTATTATTATTATTATTATTATTAATGTTCGATAAAATTACACTAACTTGTCAATCCACAAATAAATAATGGATCAGGTAAGTGTGGAAAAAAAAACAGATACCATGGGGGTTTGTTGTATCTTTTCTTTTTTGAGAAAAAAAAAAAACACAAACAGATATAATGAACATCCTACTACCGTGGGATGTATTTATTCATAATGGCGTAGAAGCAGTTGTAGAGGTCTCTGCGAGACAGCTGTAAGCCCAAGAGTGGTTTGAGGATGTGTGGCCAACTAAGATCTGGAGTGAAGGTGACATTTCTGGATTTGCAGTAGAAGGTGATCACTGACTCCACATCTGACACCAGGTCCCGCCCTTCCTCCACTGGTATCCCCAGCTCATCTGTAAAGATTCCAAAGGTCAAAGATTAGAATCATAACAAAAACATTTCTACTGATTTTTATGAGGCTAACTAACTAACTAACTTTTATAAAGGAAATAAAAAAGAAGCAGTTAAAAGTTTTTTTCAATTGTATTTGTGATAAAAAATAAATTCACCACGTCAGTAATACATTTATTATCTACTATCGATCATAACTTCCAATAAATGTAATATTATCAGAATCATTCTCTATACCGTACATGTCGATTATCGCGATATATCGTATTACCGAACACCGGCACGTCTACAACTGACACACCTTCACAGAAAGCCACCTCTCTCAAGCCCCGTTCACACCGCCAGCGACACGAGCGACATTGACTGTTGGCGTCAAAATGTGGGCGCGTCAAGCGACACGAGACATGCGACAAAACTAAGTTGAGAAATTTCTACTTTATGCAAATGAGAAGCGAATAGGAGTGAAGACTGTCAGTAGAGCTCACGTCACCGTCTCGAGTCTCGACTGCAGGCAAGACAGAACAGAGTTCCAGAGTGATTTGATTCACTTTTTTATATGATTTGACTTTAAAGGGATAGTTCACTTTGAAATTAATTTTGGATATGTTTTAGCTTACCTCAAGGTCAAACTGTTCTTGTCTGTCTGTCTGTCAGTCATGTAATGGAGGTATATGGGGTCCTCCTCAAAGAGCATGCACAGAGAAGTCCAAATTAAACATGATTTAATGACTCGTAAATGTAAGTACACATTGATGGCCTAAGACACGAAACGAGCGGTTTGTGTGAGAAAACGAACAGTATTTATATTGTTTTTACCTCTTGTAACCACAGCCACATCCAAGTGATCTGAAGGCACAGCGCTTCGGTCTGCACAAGTGCCGGAAAGCGCCGGAAGTGATCTCTTGCGAGGATGCGGAAGAAAAATAAAAATCAACGTTGTCTGTTGATATATCGAAATCGTCTTCCATTGCAATTTCATGTATATCTAAATATGTTTAGATCTTCACAGTGAAGGGCAACACTTCTGAAATCTCTGTGTAAACAATGAGTGACGTACACGCGAGAGATCACTTCCGGGGCTTTCCGGCGCTTGCGCAGACAGAAGCGCCCTCGCCCTCAGAGTACTTGGACATGACTGTGATTACAAGAGGTAAAAATAATATAAATACTGTTCGTTATCTCATACATGGATAATAATATTATGCATGGAAAACAATCTTTCGACAGTCTTAGTGAGTTTGATTCATGCATTGATAGTTCTCGTGTGTGTTGTAATTGTATGATTCAAGTTTAGCACTGCTGCAGTTCATTTACCAATTTCCAATGCATTATTTGATTATTAAGGAAAAAAAAATGTATTATTTGTCTAATTTGAATGACGTTTTAGTGGGCCCAACTGTTGACAGTAGGAGTGAGTTTAATTAGTTGATTGATCGATCGTTAATCTAGTTAATGATTTAATGCACTGAGCACTGCTGTGGTTAATATAACACACTCCAACAGCATTATATTACTTTTAAATCTTTTAAGCCTGATTCTTAATCAAATTAGAATAAAATCTTAGTTTTATTTATCACTTGTGATTGTACTTTCTATAGATATGGCCAGACGTGCAGTCTGCCAACAACAGAGAGACAGCAAAACACCCACAAGCGACTAACAGTACAGAGACAAGTGACATACAGCGACAAAATCACTGGCGGTGTAAACAGGGTATGTGATCACAAATTCAGTTCTCTTTGCAGCTTAATGCGCTTGAATAGTCAAACATGCACACAGTTATTTACAGTAAGTTATATCATGTGGAGTATTCATGAAAGTAGGTTAGCCTATGTCTTAAATGAACAAGCTGGGTGAAAATGTTTGTCAGTTTATTAGTCATTATTTTTAGTTTAGTGACTTAAACTTCTGCTTTTAAAAGCATTATTTTTGTTTTTAGAATGTAATGTTATTTTAACCCTTTTACACATAATATATAGCATAAGCATACACTACATTGGTATTCATTATATTAGCTATTCATAGACTTCAATATGAACATTGTTTGCAGAACAACATTGGGCAGGATGTGAAATAACTTCTTTTTTTTTTTTTAATAAATACAGTTTTTTTTTTTATCCAAAAAATAAATAAATACAGGAAAATACAACCGGTAAAGCCAAAAAAATACTAAGATGTGATTATTATTTATTTTTTTTTTGTCATATCGGCCAGCCCTAATGTGTAGTAAATAATGAGAATAGGTGATTCACCAATAATCTGCTGACTGCGGCTATGAATGAGCGCCTGTTCTGCAAGGTCCAAAGCCCCATCCCATGAGGACAGGCTATCTCCTTTACCAGACACGTTCAAAGCAATCTGTCAACACATGAATATAAAACTTAGAAAATTAACCAGAGAAAACACCTACAGTGCAACAAGGCTCTATCAGCAGCACTAGAGTTGTCAAAATATTGATATTTCCATATTGATCGTGAAATATCTGAAATGATTCCATTTCCAATACTCCTTTTCTGCAGTATTGATACCAGCTGCACATTCTCACTCTCTCTTCTCTCTGCATGTTGTGTAACAGCATAATGGATCCGTGCATAAGCTAGTGTTGTGACAGCAGCCTAATAAACCTCATGCTTTCTGTCATGTTAATCAAAGAACAAAGAGAAAATCACTCCCCCATCTTGACAGAATAACCTTTGTAACTTTGTTAAAATTAGTCTGTGTTTAATTTTTAGAATGGAAACAATCCATAGTTATTTTACATTTGATTACTTAAAATTCTGTAGTATTTATTTTCTTAATACTGTTAGACCCACCTGAAAAACTTAAAGCCATGTTTATTTTATTTGTCTATTTATTCTATTGTACTTATTTGTGCTATTGTTTGCATTTTGTTTATTTATTCCTTTATTACTGACTGTTTACTGGCCTTTTATTCCCTAAATGTAGTTCAATAATTCAAACAAAGCCTCCATGTGTGCAAAATTATGAGATAACAAATTGTCTGGATGGTGGTATACTATAGATGACAGTTTTCCCTGGGTATTGAATATCAATATTTTAAGGTATTGCATCGAAATTGGAAATTCCAGTATTGTGACAACTCTAATTAGCAAACCATTATATAAGCTAAGCTCCCACGGGGTGCAAGTTTAAAGGGTCCTACATTCCAAGTTTCTAAACTACAGTTTCCTTAATGGCCATCTGATCAATACAGACAGAGGCTCACTAAAGCCCTTGGGGACTCATTGACTCAGAAAGAAATTCTTTAAAACAAAGCCCTGCATGGATCTCTTATGTATTTTACACATAACACTTTTTCTGACTCTCTCATATACACAAATCATGTACAATCTTAACATAGCCTTTTAATAATAAAGATATTTCCACACGAGGCTACACAGGCTGATTAGTCAAGCTGTTTAGTCTTTATACACTTACCATCCATAACTTGGCCCGCTGTGGTGGGGAAAGGTTTCGGACCTGGATGACACCGTCCTGATCCGTGTCCAGATCACATTCTGCCAAGTCAAGAGCATCTGCTAGATCCTGATTCCTTCAGAAAAGACAGTAAATGCACACATGACACACTGTGATCATTCAAACTTCACTCAGCAAAAGTCAAGGGCAGATTTTGACCACATTCCAGTTTTCTAAATTCAAGTGTTTGCAGTACCTACAGTACATGTACGCAGAAACTGTTACCACCAGCAATGCAAACAGAATGGTTTTAAAAACATCATTTAAAATTTCTATATTTTATCCTACAGTTCAAAAGCTGGGGGTAGGGCTGCACGATATTGTAAAAAAAAAAAAAAAAAAAAACCTACATTGCGATATTCTGTGTTTCTGCTACATGGAAATAATTTCACCAGATGATTTTAGCTCTATTTGTAAAGAATGAATCATTCTGGGATGATTTTGTAACAGAGAGCATCTGCAAAGGAAATAATACTTATGTAAAGCAAAGATAAAATACAATAGAAGAAAGATACAAATGAAAATAAGCAGTGCGTTCAATTTTTCAGGTAAATCTAACAGTATTCAGGAACAGAAATTGAAAATCAAATGTAAAACCACAGTCTTCACTGTAAATATAATTTTACTAATATAATTAATGAATACAGTTTGTATTTGTTAAAGCTACAAAAGTGCTTTTGTTGTTTGATTTACATTGGTGACACAAACAGCTGCTGTATATTAGGATGCTTTCTCTTTAAGACAAATGTTCCGATATAAAATACACATATCCGTTTTCTTTCTCAATTGTTTCTCAACAACACTATGTTTAATGAGGATACTCGGCCATTTTGACTTTATTTTGCGTGCACATGTCCATTTAAGCTCAAAAGAAGAGAACTGAATTCGCCGTTCGTTCACCTCTGTCTGGGTGCACAGAAAACACCATGTGAGTTACAGTGTTTTTGTGCTTGTCTATGAAGGTTAAACTTTGCAACTAATCTACGATCATGTGTCCCGAACCTGGGAAGCAGCTGGCTGGTTCGGATCACGGATCTATAACAAATTAACAATCCCTACTTGACATTTCGGCAATATGACTATCGCAGCACAGTTGCGCACATCGCGAAATTGATGCTAAATATTTTGTGCGGCCCTCAGCAGGGAGTATGAAAGATTTTTAAAGATGTTTTTGAAAGAAGTCTCTTATTCTCACCAAGCATCAAAAATACAGTAGTATTATTGTGAAAAATAACTAAAATTACAATTAAAAAAAAAATCTATTTTAATATATTTTACAATGTTAATGGCTCTTGTGATGGCAAAACTGAATTTTCAGCAACCATAACTCCATTCTTCAGAGTCAATCCACCAGAAATCATTCTAATATGATGATCAATTTGGTGCTCAAGTATCAATATTCAATGTGTAAAATGGTTGTGCTGCTTAATTTTTGAGTAAAACGTAACAACACACTCATTTCAGGGTTTTGGATGAATAGAAAGTTCAAAAGGAACAGTTTTTGTTTTACATTTGATAACTTTTAACATCAAAAATGTCTGTACTGTCACTTTTGATCAATAAAATGAATCCTTAAATTGCATTCAAAAAATGACTGACCCCAAAAATGTTCGTTTACTGATCAATGAAACGGTTTATTGTTATTGTATAAACTTAAAGCAATCGTGTCTCTTCAGGTGACTTGGATTAAACCACTTAATTCATAATGGAAGGACATTAGAAGGACTTCCAATGGAAGGACAGAAATTTCTCAGATTTCATTACCAAGATTAAGGTGAACTTCTTTCATTTCCGAAGAAAAACAAAAGTCTTGGAACAACATGAGGCGGCCAGGGTGAGTAATTGATGACAGAATTGTCATTTTTGAGTGAACTATCACCATTAATATAAAGAGAGTATAAAAAATATGCCGTCTTATTCTAATGAACCTACCAGAATTAAAGAGAAAAATAATTATTTGTGTTAAGTGAGTTTAATCTTATTCAGTCTGATGCATTTCTATATAAATACCAAAAAATAGCACAGGCAAAAAACAAAAAGCAACTTGTGGAAACAGCCAGTGACATGAATCATTTATGAGCAATATGCTGAGCAGCTATACAGAAAAGAATATCACCACAACAAATAAGGTGCGTGTATACACGGTAGCTGACATGGCTGTGTGTGATGAATACACATTACTAAGAAATTCAACTGCAGAATGAGGCGTCTACCAAATTCAATATTCAGTCAAAAGGGTATTCAGTCTCTCTGCACTTTACTCTCCTCTAGGGTTTCTCTAAGAGCTATTACACATTCTAGACACTAGCAGTACAAGCCAAGAACCTGTTACAGGGCTCTTCAGGAGAAAAAAATAATAATAATAAAACACTCGACTTGCACTAAATTGTATTTTTAACTGAGAAAAAAAAAAAAAAAAACCCAGAAAGAAATCCTCTGAGGGCTCTTTGCCATCTGCTATACTGCCAGAGAAAGAAACTCGCAGACAAAGCCCTATTCTCACACACTACTGAAAACAACTGTGCTGAAATCAAACAATGTGATCACTCACACAAACACACACACAGCCTCTTCTCAGCTGCAGCAAAAGTGACGCTAATGAGTACCTGCGATATAGTAGTTAATGGCATGAATGTTTTTTACAGTATAATTTTCAACCCATTCTTTCTAACTGATTATTCCAAGAGAGTCTTTCTTTTTTGGTTAAATGGTTAAATAAATACATTAAGAAAACTAAACACTGTAAAGGTGTAATTAACTAGTAGAAATCAAGTTAATTATTGATGTTTGGTTCCACAATCACTCTAAAGTCCTAACATACTCTTAGGGATGAAGGAGAAAGCGGTCTAACAACAAGCCATACCAAGCATTCAAACCTGGGGTGAAAAAATGCAAGTTGCCACATATTTTGTCTGAATAATAAGATAGGAAGCTTCAAAGTCAATACATTCTTTTTAGGTGAACTAAATAACATGCATAACTCTATCTGTGGTTAATAATGGACTTAGCAATCACAGCCTGCTATAAATATAACCCTGCCACAAACTTTGCTCCTTTTATCTCTATGTATTTTTTGCTAACTAATTGTCATTACACAGTGTATCTCTTATATCGCAATATCATTATACATTCAATATAAAAGCGGTAAACTTAAAATGCCATGGCTGTGAATTAGACCAGGATTCAAAATTATGTTCAGAATAATTCTGTCGAACTTATACGCCACATGTGCAGAACAATTAAGCAGAAAAAAATGTTGACGTCAATATGATGTCAATGTAGTTGGGCTGAATTCCTCAAGCATTTATAACTTGGGAGGAGTTTCTAATGTTCATACTTATTTCAACTCTCCTGTACAACAAGACATACTGAAATATTCACACGAGTCCATACTCATCCAAAAGAAGGACTTCAGAAAGTAAAAAGGTGTTCCGAATTTTGTTCCAATTCCAGAAAACCTCCACAGCTGAGAAATTGTCTTACCGAGCTAAACAGAAAAATTCACACTTTTATGGAGAGCCGAATACCGTAAGCTACAAACACAGCTACAAACACAGGCGACTATCATAATCATCATCACAATTCTATTGTGTCCAAAGCTACGCTAACACCTAGCAAAAGCTGTTTTAAAACAGCCAACTCCCAAAGAAACAAAACAATGACACATTTAATATCTTAGGAGACATATACAGATCATCAAAAGAATAAAAGGACAATATCGAACTGCTGAGAAGGTCTGAGAAACAGCTGGAGTCTCAAAACAATACACTAACTGCTTTGACTAGCCAGAGTAGCTGCTTAGCACAGCATCGCTGTCTCACAAACGGGTGTCGTGAAAACTACGTGATAATCTCTCTTCGACGGCCATCAAGCTCCGAGTGATAATATCAGACTGTGAAAGTTCAGAATCGTTCTGCGGTAAAATTGATCAGTGATGTTTTCTTACCAGCTGCCTTGAAGCACTTCCCCTACAGCATCCGCCATTGCTGTGGTGACGGTCCACGTCAAACTGTGTCGTAAATACCAGCGTCCTGTCTCTAGGACCAAATGCGCGCGCTTGACACTAGTCTAGACGTGACGTAGAACGCGATATTCAACGGCGCGCGACGTAATTTAATTGAGAGATTAGTGACTCTAGGAGAAGGAATTTATAGTATGAAAAAATCCCTTAATCATTGGTTTATGAGAGATCTGTCTGTCTATCATGGGCAGAATAGCTACTCTTGACCAAAGCAGAAAAAAAATCTATTTTGTTTAATTTTAGATGGAAAATCAAAAATCATTATATGAAAAAATCTCAGATGATTAAAGAAAATAAAAATGGAGGTCTTAAAGGGTCCGTGTACGTTGCGTTCATTCATTTTTCGATTTGATATTGAAAGTAGAAAAATGAGATACCGGCTCATTTATTCTTTTTTCTTTTTTCCAAAAAAATTAAAAAAAAAAAAAAAATTAGAATTCGGCTTGATTTTTATATTTTTATGTTCAGGGATAGAAAATGGATTGACTAGTGATAGTAGTTTGTTAATACAATCAAAAACGACCAATGTGAAGGTTCTCAGTCCACTAATAATCCAACGAAGTTTAAAACCTAGGGCAGTGAGATTGGATATATTGATTTATATTCTTTAATAAAAACTTTCCATTATAACTGTGCTTTCACAAATCATGTTTCTCTTAGCACTGCTGCTTAAGGCATTAGCCTACTCACCAAAATAAGCTCTTTCTCCTCATGTTTGGCATATTTGATCATGTAGCCTATATATTATTTTCAAGGTGAAAAGTTAGCCCTGTACTCATTGTGGTTTTAATGCAGAACATGTAAAGTACGTGGGACCTTACTATTTCGCCTTAACGGAGAGATATCCGGATGTTTATTCGCCTCTGCCATAACGACCTTACTCGACCTAGTTCCATGCAACGGGAAGAAACTCCTGTAACTTCAGTGCGCAACACGTTGGTCCAATTTGGAAAACGTGTAGATGTCACGGTTTAGTTTAAACTCAGAACCATAAATAGGGCTATACTGCCCTCTTGTGTCAAATTATATTTCTATATTTATTTTTCCAACAAATAAAACCAAACCTGCAATAAAACCCCGTCCAATAAACCCTTGAACTCAACAGATGCAGTAGCGGAGTTGGTAAAGCGTTGGGCTTTAATCAAGAAGACCTAAGTTCAATTCCCATACTTGCGTTAATTTGTTGTGATTATATCAAACAAAGTGGCCTCTTCAACCCGGTATCGTGACAAGACGTGATCGCTGGTCAACTTTTGAAAACGTGTAGATGTCACGGTTTAAACCCCCTCAAACGTGAAACTTAGGCTACACTTAAAACTTACCATCACGACCTATTGGTTTTCATTAAACCGAAAAAAAAATTGAATTTTCTTTTATTGACGATCACTGAGAAATGGTCTATTATTTAAAAAGCAAAAAAAAAAAAAAAAAAAAAAAACACCATTTATTATTTTCAAGGTGAAAAGGATTCATTTGCCTGGATCCACGCCGAAGAAAACGTCTAAATGTCACATTTTTAATGAAGCAGCCTAAATAGTCCACTTTGGAAAATGTGTAGATGTCAGGTTTTCATTAAACCGAGAAAAATGAAATTTTGTTTTATTTACGATCACTGAGAAATGTTCTATTATTTATCATTTATTATCATTTACGATCATTTTTATCAAGCTTGTATATTTAAGTTCAGTGATTTCACTTAAATGACAATTAATAGGTAATCTTCATCGCAATTTAAGTGAAATTACTGAACTTAAATATACAGGCTTGATAAAAATGATCATTCTAGAAGAAAATTTCAAATGGCACTTAGAGGCTTTTGCATCTGAACTCTTCATATATATATATATATATATATATATTATTTTCAAGGTGAAAAGGATTCATTTGCCTGGATCCACCCCGAAGAAAACGTCTAAATGTCACGTTTTTAATGAAGCAGCCTAATGAGTAAAATGTCTATTTTTCCGGCGTCCCCCAGCTCCTCGTTTAAGCAAAAGGTACACTAAAACAACGTATTACATCGACGTTAATTATTTATGGCGGGTTTTTTTTTTTGTTTTTTTTTTCTTGCACCCCCTCTAAAATGGTTGTATGTACACACATGAACGTTTATGATGGAGATACGATTGAAAAGGTGTATATTTTGTAACAGGCATTTTATTGTTCCCTATTTTATTTTGTAAATTGATATTGTTCAATAAAAATAAAATAATACTATAATAATAATAAAATAAAAACTTTGATGATAAATTTGCATTCTAGACCTGGTCGGCATTTGCATGCAGCCCACTGTCTTTTTAATTGATTTGGAATAAATTGTTATTCATTTTCTGCCATGATGCATCCCCTTGTTGTATGATTTATGTCATATGTAATGTGTTATTGAATAAAAAAAAAAACAGTTATGGCCACCATGTACCCATCCTCTGATGGCTACTTCCAGCAGGATAATGCACCATGTCACAAAACTCAAATTATTTCAAATTGAATTGAACATTTCTTGAACATGACAATGAGTTCACTGTAAAATGGCCCCCACAGTCAGCAGATCTCAACCCAATAGAGCATCTTTGGGATGTGGTGGAATGGGAGCTTCGTGCCCCGGATGTGCATCCCACAAATCAACTGCAAGATGCTATCCTATCAATATGATCCAACATTTCTAAAGAATGCTTTCAGCACCTTGTTAAATCAATGCCACATCGAATTCTGAAGGTGAAAAGGGGTCAAACACAGTATTAGTATAGTGTTCCTTTAGGTGAGTGCATTGTTCCACTAAAATATTAATTATTTTATTTTTTTCTTATACTACTTTTTAATTATTCAGGTAAATTCCATGTAGCCTAGACAAAATGGTGAGCATCCAATACAATTATATCAATTTCCTCCAGGAGATCAAGGACTTTAGCATCTGGTTGAAGAACACTATTTCCAAGGGGATCTGTTTTCACACAATGTTTTGCAAAAAAAAAATAAAAAATAACCTTGAGAACTGACATATAGCCTATTCATTTTGTTAATTCACCAAAACCACTTGTTCAGAGCAAATTCTGATGATGATACCAAAAAGGGCCTAGCACCTATTGACAGGAAGTGTCTAATTCCAATTTAACCAAGATTAATCAAAACTTCTTGAGGTAAAGACAAAATTGAGTTATCATCCTGGCTCTTTGGGTGCTTTTGACTTTTTAAAGTGTACTTTGTTTTAATTATCATATGAAGATGCTTGCCAACCTCTGCACTTTCACACAAACAAATGTCAAAAGATAAAAAAGATAAAAGATGGATAGATGTTGGCAAAACCTGAGCAAAACTATTGAATAACACAGGGGCCATTTGCATAGCATCTGTCTTAATAGTTTGACCAACTAGTTAGATAAGAGGTTAACAGTCTTACTGTTAAATTAGACAACATTTTTATGTAACTGACATAAAAAGGTTAGGACCAGTCTTGTAGTCTTGAAATCTGAGCAGTTTTTGCAACCAGCCCTAAATAAAAGGCCACAGTTGTTACATGAACGTTGTTAATTTTGATGTCAAGGATTTATGAAAATTTCCACCGTCCTTCGGATGAGACGTTAAACCGAGGCCCTGACTCTCAGTGGTCATAAAAAATCCCAGGTTGTCTTTCGAAAGAGTAGGGGTGTAACCCCGGCATCCTGGCCAAATTTGCCCAGTTGCCTCGGTCCATCATGGCCTCCAAATCATCCCCATATATATACCAATTGGCTTCATCACCTCACCTTCGTCTCCTCTCCACCAGTAAGCTGGTGTGTGGTGGGCGTTCTGGCGCAATATGGCTGCCGTAGCATCATCCAGGTGGATGCTGCACATTGGTGGAGGTTGAGGAGATTCCCCCCTCTATGTGAAGTGCTTTGAGCGAAAGGCGCTATATAAATGTAATGAAATATTATTATTATTATTATTCATGCTCATTTACTGATCTCATTTGTTTTGTTTTTTTCAAGCCAAAACTTTATACTGAAGCATAAATGCTTGCTACATTAGGCATGCCATCCTCACAGGAAGCACGACTGCCAAGACCCACAACATCAGACGGAAAAGAGCTCAGAAGACATTGTATGTGAAGCACAGGAGCATCAGTTAATGCCCCCATATCTCACTTTTAATTTTCTCTGTTTGTTTGTATATTTCTATTTGTGACAAGTAAACTGGAAGAAGTTATATGTGATTTCTAAGAAACCTGATTATCAGTAGCCTACCGCAGCCACCTGTACAAACCCCCAACCTTTTAAACACTATATGCATGTGCATATTTTAATATAAAAATGTAAAATTATGTATTAATTAAGGACAATACAAATTTACTTTTTTGATGTATAATTGGGACCAGTTTGAGCCAAAATAGCCCATTTTCATCTGCAGTCCCAGGGAATGTGCATTTAATTATTAAGCAAAAGTAATAAGCATGAAATAAAAATAGTTACAAATAACAAAACAACAACAAAAAAAAAAATGAATTCACTTTGAATAAAAGCATCTCCAAAATTAATAAATAAATAAATGTAAATCTGCATCGAAAAACAAAAGCAATCTGGCTTTATGAACAACTGCCGACAACTTGATTCTTTATTTTAGAGCATCACATTAATATTATACAAATAAACTTTACCTACATCACAGTTACCCCAACTCCCTCCCCTTATTTATTTTTTACTTGAGTCATCTTTTTTTGCACAGAAACTTTCAACAGATTCAGCACAACAAATCCATTTTAAACCTTTAGGCTGTGCCAATAAGCTTGCATTAGTTTATTTTAAAACAATCGTTTTGTGATCTTCAAACATGCAGCAGAATGACTGGAATGACTTGTTCTACCAACATTGGTAAAAAACCTTTTATAATTGATTGCGCTGAAGAAGAAAAAAACAAACAAACATGTAAACATTTACATATTAGGCAATGCTTAATGTGTACATGCATAGGCAATTTAACACCCCCTCTACTTCTAATAGACAAGCCTAATAAAGACAGCAAAGCCATTTTGTTGTTTGATATTGAATTCATCTTAAAGCTGAAGATGGCTGATTGAATGCATGAAGAAATCACAGTTGCATATTTAACTTTTTACTGCCTTTTATTAATAATGAATAAACTGTGAATATTATATATATATATATATATTACTACTAGTTTTTATATAAAATTCTCCTCTGTAGACACAAATATACTATATGTATACTTTAAAAGTACCTCAATATTCCAAGATTTTACAAATCAATGCACAATTTAAACTAAAGACTAGGGAAGGGGAACTTAGTTGCTAAATGTAAGAAGTTTTTGCATTTAATTTTTTTTTTTCAAGAAGCGAGACATTCTTCAAAAATACCCCTCAATGACATTTTTATTTCACAGAGGAATAAAATCAGATATGTGCCAGTATTAAAGATAAAATGAGAGGAATGTAATTTTGGCGCTTCATAATGTATCTAGGCTCATTCTTGTTTTTGCACACAAATGCAATATTACATTTCTCACAGCTTTAGTGTCTCAGTTTAATAAGCAAAGGTGATTTCAGAACAAACTTCTCTCACAGGGCTAAGAGGGTTTTAAATTACTTTAGTTATATTATCTTTTAAATTAAATAATGTGTAATTTGACTATTTTTGTGTCAGAAAAGTATTATCTTTAGGATTTAGCTTTATGTGTATTGACAATTTTTTTTTTTAAAGAGAAATATCATTGCTGCACAGAAAATATAAAATAAAACTTGTATGGCCAAATTTCAAACTTTTCCTTGATATAACCCACTTGCAAAAACAGTGTAATCACACATCAAGAACATACAGATTTAAAAACAAACCCATCTCAACTAAAATTTTAATCCTGCATATCCCATACAACAAAGAACGCAAATGAGATTGTTAGGATGTGACAGTGAAAGGACAAAGCTTACGCACATTACAGCATCAAACCATGAATACACATAACGCAGTCCTGATGACGGTATACACTGATTTAACGTAGTGAATCTGGTGTTTTTTCGAGGGAAAAAAAGAAAAAGAAATAATTACCAATTGGCAGGGGAGGCTGAACATGAACAAATGAGCACCATCTGTAAGCCATAATATAGCCATACTCAATGAGGGAGGGTTTGAACTATGCCAGTGATAATTTTATCTTTAACAGAGCAGCCATCAGTCTTTTTCACAAGCTTGTTTTTGCATTCTCGTTTCCTTCTGCTGCTCCTCCACCTTCCAGTCTGGTGTAAATACGTGATAGCAGAACATGTTCGGTCTTTCTTTTAGTAAAAAACAAAAACAAAAAAAAAAACCTCAAACTTATGAGATGTGTACTCTGGCCCGGCAGTAGAGAGTGGAGAAAGGAAGCAAGAGTTATAGCGTGGGAGGCTTGAGCCCGTACTTCTTGGCCACCTCCGTCTGGGCATAAGCAGCATCACAGAGGGAGTAAAGATGGGCCATCTCCATCTCTGACTTGGCCAGGTTGATGGCCTTGTTGAACATGTCTATAGCCTTGTCCAGATTGCCTCTGTAAGAAAATAAATGAATAATATTTTTAAAGGGATTATAACAAGAAGAACTGAAAATGACTAAAATTTGGTGTCATAACCTTACTTATTATAAGGTTACAACCCAAGGGTGGGTGAGGGATATAGAAAAAAAATATATTATAGTGACGCAATGGACATCACAAACCTTTGGACTTCAATGGTTCCCATAGTTTCATAAGCAAAGTCGCATTTATTGTCAATTTCAATGGCTTTGCTAATGAGTTCAAGCCCCATTTCCAAATCTTGTTTCCATTGAAGCTGCAACAGACTACAAACAGAAAGACGACTGATAAGTATTTTGTTTGTTGAACTTAGATAAACATTCTTTAAATACAAAAAAAAAAGGATAAAACTAACCCTTTGTGGACATATGTCGTGGCGTTGTCAGGCTCTAGTTCAATACATTTATCATACATTTCATCAGCCTTTCCAAACTGTTGTTGGTCAGTTAGTGCCTATCACAAAAAAAAAACAAAAAAACAAAAAAAAAAAAACAAAGATAAAACATATTAGTTAAAGATATGAAGTAAACTGATCAAATACAATTTTATGGTTTTATGCCATTAATATTTAAAAGTACCTGTGCATACAAAGCATAGCCCTCAGCACACTTTGGAAACCTCCTAATGACATCCTCAAAGCCATCCATGGCTTTCTGAACCTGGGATGGGTTGTTTCCAGTGTATGCCTGTCGGTACTACGAGAAAAAAAAAAAAAGTTACGTTTATACCGCTTTTACAGTTAAATTACGAATTTATCATATTAGGTTGTTCTGGTTGAAAGTCAACAGCGGTACACAACACTCATAAAGCCATTTATCATGATACAATTTATTACCTCATTCAAATGTCCCCCACAAACAGGATTTAATGTGTAAACAGTACCCACTTGTGGTACTTACCAATGCAAAGCACTTCTGGGCCTGGGCGAGTGCAGAGTCTGGTCGAAGTTTTATACACTCATCAAAATCCCCTACAGCCTCCTCCACCTGATCCAGCAGGATCTTCAACTGAGAAGTGAAAACAGTCCCAATTGGTTATCCATACATAAAGTTTGTTGCTATTAATTGTAAGGGAATGTTGCAGAAAAAAAAATTAAGTAAATGGACATCAATGAAATTCCATTTAAACTTAGAGAACCCACGTCACACCCCTTATCATCTCACTTCACTGGCTCCCAGTTGGGGCCAGAATCAAGTTTAAAGCTGATTACCACTAGAACCACTAGCCCGAGGCACAACGTTTAACCATATTTTTGATAAAACTACGACGGTAATAGCCTGCCGAGACCAAATATATGAGACGCCTGTGTTGAAAGTCAATGGAGCACTGTGAAAAAGAGTCGGACCTCTGTGGGAGCTCGTTCTTGGCTGCGCTGTGATTGGTCAATCTACATTCTAGGGCGTATACCAAGAAGATTCAACACAAGGGCTTGGTTTTCAGCATGTCTTTAGGTAAAAATGTCAACATGTATGTGGCGTTGTCATACCTGTCCCCTGTGATGGTAGACATCAGCATTACGGGGGTCAATTTCTGCAGCCATGTTGAAATCCTGCGTGGAGTGCTGGGGCTGCTGCTGCTGCATGTACATGCTTCCACGTTTAATGAGCGCATTAGCACGTAACTGAAACACACCACAAAGATGCATTAACACTAATAGGATCAATAAGAGAGGCAAGCAGGGCGAGAGCTGTGGGAACAGAGTGAGGCTGGTGGCACAAGTGATGATGAGCATCAGCTGCGCACCACACCGGACGCGAGTCCCACGGAGGAGTTCCAGAACGATCAAAGACATACGTGTTGATTTATTGACTTTTTAGGTGTTTAACGATACCCTCATGTCACGATTCGATTAATATCATGATACTGAACTCATGATACGGATACGATTTTATTGCAATACTCCAAGACATATAGTAAAAGGTTCCTAAAAATGTACTGTTGATTAAAATGCTAAATTTGACATTGTGGGTTTAAATGAATAAGCTTGGAATAGTGCTTGTAAGCCAAGGACAATGGTGACACCAGAATGCAAATATTTATGATTCTGAAACTGAAATTACTAAGTTATTGTAAATGCTTGCACTCTGTAACTGACTAGATATATTTAAAATAATATCAGCCACTTTTTACTGGTAACATCAGACATTTGGCATTATCAGGACCCACAAATAAACATTATATATAGTAGTTTAATGTAGTATTTACACTAAAACTTAAAAAACTTTTTTCCTCGCACAGTAATTTTTATTTTGGTGGGACCATCCACGATACGTATTGTTGTATTTTTGTATTGTGATATTTTGTGGCACGATATATTGTTACACCCTTATTCAGTACTGAATTCTGCATGCTAGCAAATCCTCCAATTATAACAAAGTATAGATATTATGAAAGATTCATTGTGCAGTCAGCTTCATTGATAATAACAGATTTGTGAGATCGTGATGAACTGAAATGTCAGATTTTTAGGAATTATTAAGGGAGCGCACTTTGAGTGCATTCTGTCATGCTAAATCATGCACGCAGTCGCCTGCTTGCTTTTATGTTAAATTAACAGTGGTTTGCGAATGTTAATACTTTAAAAGGGGGGTTGACAGCTTTTTTTCTTTGCGCGATTGTATTTATGGGCTGCAATATAACATGCATTCATGGTTTTTCTTTATTTAAAAGTCTTATTTTTCATAAACTTCACCTTTATTGTCAGCCACGCTCTCCTCTGTCCCTTGAACGAGCGGTTGACTTCCTGATTCTATGAAAACAATCCCTCAGAAACACGTAGTGGGCTCCGATTGGTTAGTTTGGCCCGATTTTTAAAAGACGATATCTCTGTTTACACTGAACTTTCAGCGCTGCAACTTTGCAGATACTGTTCATGCACCAACAGCAACATTACACACTATTTAAAATTTTAAAAAGTGAAATCGCAGTAAACCCCCCCTTTAACAACAAATTATTTATCGGGAGCATTTATGCCGATGTGTAAGTTGTGGTGACATGTAGGCTAACTTAAAAGTATTTCATGGAGGTACAGGAAAAAAAAAATCTATTTATAATTTTTTGCAGGCAGGAGCGGAACAAAACAAATGTTTTTCACAGATTTACACAATTTGTGAGTCATACAGAAAAATCACATCCTTGCTATAATCTGTTACCTTCACACTGGCATCCTCCATGTTAATGACACGGTCAAGATCAGGCTGTGCAGCTGTAGCGTTGCCAATCAGCAGGTAAAAGGTGGCTCTCAGCAGAAGAGCTTCAGCTGTGTACCTGCCTCCAGACTCAATCTCCTTTGTGCACTCACTGATGATCTTATCGTAGTTTTCCTCCTCCATATACTGCTTAGCCTTTAGGTAGCCTGAGCTGAGGAAACATTTATTTTTTAATTTAGGAAATGTTTTTTGATTCAAATTTGGAAACAAAAAAACACTATTATTCACTCACCTAAAGGATTATTAGGAACACCAAACTAATGCTGTATTTGACCCCCTTTCGCCTTCAGAACTGCCTTAATTCTATGTGGCATTGATTCAACAAGGTGCTGAAAGCATTCTTTGGAAATTTTGGCCCATATTGATAGGATAGCATCTTGCAGTTGATGGAGATTTGTGGCATGCACATCCAGGGCACGAAGCTCCCGTTCCACCACATCCCAAAGATGCTCTATTGGGTTTAGATCTGCTGACTATGGGGGCCATTTTAGTACAGTGAACTAATTGTCATGTTCAAGAAACCAATTTGAAAAGATTCGAGCTTTGTGACATGGTGCATTATCCTGCTGGAAGTAGCCATCAGAGGATGGGGACATGGTGGCCATAACGGGATGGACAGGGTCAGGGGATGGACATTTTTCTCTAGAGATACAAGAAGTGGGGAATGGTGGACTTCATCTTGTTGACAATTCAGGTTGAGTCTTGCGAGTGATGTGGTACCAAGTCCAGAAGACGAGGTGTGTGTGTGTCTAAAATGAGAAGCCATCCACGTCTGCAGAGCCATCTTTTTTATGGGGGTTCAGGGGCGCGTAGATCTAAGCTATGCACGGAACGATTTTTTTAAGCGAAAAATTAATAATTTTCAAATGCATTTATAGACCATTTTGCAAGATGTAAACAAAACTGGTCCAGAAGCACTTCCTGTTTCAGTTTTTTAACACTACATAAAAGCTGGGATAAAATACAACCAACAGAACTGAGTCAAAAAGTTAAACAAACATCTTTAAGACTTTTTCTTTACATGTGAAATAAAGAAAACAGTTACAAACTGAAACAGGAAGTGTTTCTGGACCAGTGTTGTTTACATCTCACAAAATGGTCTATAGTGTCTATATATTTTATAATGACATTATACAGGGGTGATAGTAGAAAAAAATCCTGAGCCTGAACTTTTTTTTCCCTGGGAGGTAAGCGGCCCCTAAGCCAAGAGATATATGCCCTGATCAACATTTGTCAAGCGGGATCCAGAAGTGTGCTCCCCTGGGAGAACATTTTGATAAATACAGGTAGTCCCTTAAATGATTCTGGTGACTTTTGTAGATATAAATGGACATCATTCAGACATGAAATGAACAAACCCAATACAAAGCCTATATTACAGTAGCATATTTGTGTAGACTGTAGAGCACCAGAGCTCCTGGGACCCTGGGTCTGTTTATTAATCCATCCCTGCTTTTAACTAGTCATTTACCTGCGTACTTATTGCTTGTATAGTGTACTAAGACTATACAACATCCATAACAAGAAAGGTCAGAGCGTGGCAATTATAATTCTCCAAAGTAAACTATAGGAATTCATTAGTAGCCTAACCATAGAAAATAAGGACGCATGAACAAGGAGATATTCATTTTAATGCAAAATATGCACCATTTATTTTAAATATTTTTTTTAAACAGTTACAGTGCAACAAAACCCTATGTAATGTAACACTCAATTTGAAGAGCTCTTTTCCAAAACGTGATAAACGCCATTTAAAAAAAAAAACGAGTTTGTCGTGTCATTCTGCTGTGGACAGAACCCTTTCGCTGCTCCATCAACGTTTCATGCCAAATCGCTATATTTCCTTGTTTAAAATGTACTGCAAGATACAGTTTCTTTCCAAACCACGATAAGCGCCAGCCCTGTTTTTAGCCTAAACACGATAAATCCTCAAATTCAATGAGCGTTCCACGCAATCCAGCACGGCGGCACTCTGAACAGAGGTTTATTATGTTCATTTATTCCTCAAAATGAGTCCTAGTTTTCTAGTCGACTAGTAGTAGATCATTTAAGCCATTTGTATTATCAGTAATCACATATATTGATTTAATTAAATGGGAGAGAAACCATATGAGCGTTTTTAATTGCCTATTCCGCATTTCAACGTATGCATGAAGCTTGCCACAAAGAACCGGCAAAAGTAATGATTATGCATGAAACATTTGAATTGTTTATTAATAAACTAGTGTTTTCTGTCAGTGTCAGCAACAAAGATAAAGTTGATGATGCTTACTCGCCATCTTCGAAGTGAACGCGCATAGGCCTATAGAAACGCATACTTCGAATTAGCCTACATACGCAGAGAGTTGCCAATTTATTTTAGTTTTTAATTGTTCTGTTTAAAAGTAGATATTTAAAGCTTTCTGTAGCTTAGTTCTCAGGCCTGTGTGAGGCAAGCATCGCGGTGTTTCGGTTCATATTATGAGACGCGCTCCGGTTCACCTGCGCGCCTCTGTGTCCTGATTATATTGTCTGATATTTACTTCTAATGTATTAATCCAGTCAATTTGTCGATGAAACATTTATTAAAATGAAGATACAATTTATATGAAACGAAATTTACAAGCTTTCTACAAAACAAAACTTAACAAGTGGTCAAAATCATGTCTGACGCACTCCAAATATTTTCCGATATTGGGCAGCTTTTGAATTTTGATCCTATCTTACTCATCTCATGCGGTTCCCTTTTCGTAGCCAACTCAACATATATGAAATAATAAAAATAAGTAATGTAATATTATTAAAAACAAATGTGAAACGTATATTTTATGTTTATTTTTTATTTTTTTTACTTATATTTAAGCGTCATGCTGCTCCGCTTTGCTCACATGTTATGTAGCCTGTGTGTTTGTGTGTGCATGTGCTGGAGGGGTGCCCATCCCTTTTTTGAATATCGTTATCATATATTGATCATTTTCAATAATTCGTTTTTTTCATGCATATGTTGAAATTGTTACTATTTGTTTGAGGTTGCTGCCTCGAAACAGACAGATGCGTTAGGGCGAGTTTATCCTCCGCTAATTTCTGACACAGAGTGACGAGTGGATGAGCGATTGTAAATGACAGATCGAACTCGGCAATGAAGGAGCACAAGCGAATTTTTAAATCAGCCACACGATCGGTCATTGAGGGTCGGATATCTGCTGTGGCTGTTGCCCCCGGCAAACGTGAGGTGTGTTGAATCGCTCGGACAGCTGCTTGATGACTAGGGTCTAACTCGTGCCGTGGCAGCACTTTTTTCCCGCTAGTTCCATATAATATTTTCCTTGCACACAAAGTGCAGAAACATGCTCCTGGTTGCCGGAGTTTTTGACACCAGCTTCCAAAGGGCTTTTCGTCTCTACCCACCACTTCTACCCAAGACCAGCGCCATTTATTCTTTATGCCTTTATCGACAAGTTTGGTGTCTTCCCCCGGCTTCATAAAGTTGCGCTCCATGACTTCGGCTAGATTTCGCGCTGCCAGTGTGGAAAACGCAAAAAAAAAACTGATCGCACGTGAAGTGACTACTGATTCAATTTGATTGGCCAAAACCCAAGACCAGCCCCTACCCTATTGCCGATTGGCTGAAGTAAGGTTACATATGTGGTTTAGTGCGCGAACCTGTTTTTTTTTTTTTTTCCCAGACACGTCTGAACGCCGGAAATCCGGCGTGGCGCCGGAGCGCTATCAGGCATGCATTATAATTATACATGTAGCCAACATTAATATGTTTTTAATAGAATTACAATTACTGTAGGCTAATATATGTAGCAGGGCATTCAGTTACTTTTGAAAGGACAATAATAAAGTGTCAGTGTACTTCATAAGATTTTAAATTTGTCAGCAAGTTTTACCACTGCTTTTTAGTGACAGTCGATATGCATGGGATATCCGCTCCCTTCCCTTTTTCTCACAGCTATCCACGCCCACTTAAAGGTCCCCTGACATGGTTTTTTTTTTTATTATTTTATAATGTTTCCTGGGTTGCCCTTATAATGTTAGTATGTTTTTTAGATTAAAAATAGTCATAATTTATAAATAAAAGGCATTTTTCCTAGCCTGATTTAAGCCTCTGCTTAGAACAGTCTGTTTGAAGGGGCGTGTCTGCTGTGGGATTCAATGCAACACCCACTGCTGTGATTGGCTGACATGCTTGCATTTTAAATAGCTACATATTACATGTGAAACTCTCTTGAATACGTACTACAGCTATTATATGTTTTTACTATTACAGATATCAAGATTACTGAATCGCATAGGCGTAACTTGCGGGCGGGACATGTCCCCACCACTTTTAGCCAGGGTCGATATTGTCTCCACCACTTTTGAAACATCTCTCGCGGCACGGATGTAAATTATACAAATAAATAAATCATCTCTAGTTAACTAGCAGAGCATTCATTTAGTTCGTTTCTTTAAATAAGAGGCGATCTAGCGCTGAAATGTGTTGCTTTTGAAAACAAGTGATCAAAGTGCTCGTTGCCGCTGCGATCAGTGACGTGGATACAGTTCTCTTGTGGCTCGCGCTGTCGCGCAGTCTTCACACTGACTCGCGCTTTAATCCGTTGTGGAGACTATTCAATCCGGTGAATTCACAATGTAAAATGCACACAAACATACAACTGATAAACATAATCGGTTTTAATCAGAGATAGAAAAAAAAATGATAGGAGTGCGGATTAGAACCCAGAACCTCTGTCACGCTTGGCAAATGTTCTGCCACTGGACTAATGAAATGCTTGCGTGTCATTGTCAGATCTCTGTATTTCGTCATGTGAAAATTCTAGCCACAAACACATATTACATCTGCCCGATACAAGCCTGAAACTCGTCTGCTCTCGTCGAGGTAAAAAGCTGCACTTGAATACATCGAGAGAACTATTACAGCCGACTGTCAGCTAAATGTGCGTTCTGCACCTGCGTTTAATAAGCCAACTGTCTATTTCTGCAGATATATTATATATTAGTCTATATTCGTCATTCAAAAAGGAAAACCGATGCTGCCGGCAGCAGATACACATAACGTAAACAAAGCAGCGCGTGCTTACCGTTTTGAATATCATCCTGCTAAACACTTTCTTTAAATAAGATTATTTTCATCCTACTCAAAGAAACGACGTGAAGTTGATAATAGTCTGGCTTGACTTACTGATGCATAAACAGTATCGAACGATTTTGAGAGAAAACTTTTGGGAGTTGAGTCGGCGCTTTTCCAGAGAAAATAAAATTAACCCATTGTTTCTTCAGATGCTCGGATGAAGGAACTAAAAAAAACTTTTGCGTTCATTTGTACATCCGAACACTGAGCAACTGCCATGCTTCTCTCGTTTGCAAGCCATGATATTTCTCAAGGAAAAACTCAAATCTATAAGCTATATCTCTAGGAAAAAAGAAAATCGCGCCTGTGCGTGTTCGTACTTCCTGTTCCTAGCTCGTTTTCTCAGCGTCAGGGCAAATTCTCTGGGCGGGCAAAGCAGAGAAAGGGGAGTAACCTTTCCCCTATATGATGTTATATAGGGGGAGATTCTAGATCAGCTCGGTTTACATCGATTGAAAATTCTAGACACGAGGGGACCAAATACAGTCTAGGGGAACTCATATTAATGTTAAAAAACCTCAGAAAATGAAAATTTCATGTCAGGGCACCTTTAAGTTGCATTTAAAAAAAAAATGTGATCTAGACTTGGGCTGAAAGAGGGGGGTTTCATGATCCTTTAATGAAAAATTGAACAGGTGTTCCTAATAACCCTTTAGGGGAGTGTACATTAGTAGTATAGCATGCAACAATAAGACACTCTAAATCTTTAGGATTTAAAAGCACCAAAAGGAAACACTGTCAACAAAAGCACAAACAGTGAATGTACAAATCTCAGTTTGTATTAGGAAATTATAATACCCTCAGCAGCTCTCACCTTCCTGTGACCTCTGAAGCCTCACCCTCTTTGTCTTTATCCTCATCCTTCTTTTCTCCTTTCTGTAGGGGCTGTGAAATGATGTCATCAGTAAAGGAGCTGAAGTAGGACTTGATAAACTGAGGAGATGGCATAAGAGGCTCCCGGTTCTGAGAAAAGCAAACATGACAGAGCAAAAAATAAATAAGGTAGATTCTATAAACATGTAATACAGTTTACATTTAAGTCTAAGATTTGTACATTTCCATCACATTCCCACCTTGTACTTCTCTTTGGCCTTTTCTCTCCCCAGCTGTTTCAGCACCTTGTCTGCAAGTAGCATACTCTGCTGATTCTGGAAAACCTCCAGAATACATACTGCAGTCACATCTACAAAAAGAAAAAAGTATTTTTGACTGAAACACATGTTATGCCAGATAATAGAATGTAGTCAATGACTAAGTTAACATGTGCACCATTAATGTGATTATTTCTAAGAAAAAAAAAAAGTAAGGTCTTAAGATGTTTACACGACACGAGCAGACCTCTTCACTGCAATTTTTTTGCAATTATGTATGATTATACCACATTCATATAGGCATAAATAATGCATGTTACCGGCTACATCATTTAATGTGAATATGGTTACTACGAATACAGACTTAATCACATCAGTTTGATCTAAGTACTGCGTTTAAACGAGGTAAAGTTTAAATCGCAATATTGCCAACTCCCATTATAATCGCAGTACTTTATGAATTAAAACAATTGATGGTAATTAATAACTTGATTTAATGGCCAATATCAGTGATTGTGAGAACAGGTTGTTTAGAAACATAAGGTGCTTGAAAACAACCTAAAAATATAAAAGGAATAAATGCAAAAATTCTAGTAAAATTGAAACAAACACAACAGAAACACACTTAAAATCAAACCAGAAATAAAATTAACCTTCTAGGCATTCCCTCTTTTTATCCAGTTTTTCCAGTGCTTTGGCACGCCTAAAGAGGGCTTTTACATAGCAAGGATTCAGCTCGACTGCCTGAGAGCAATCCTGTATCACTTCTGTCCATTTCATCTGAAACAAAAAACAAACAAAAAGCAGTCATTCAGACGTGTAAAACTTTGTGATGTTGCAACAAATGATGATCTGACAGACAAACCTGCTGCTCATAGGCTGCAGCTCTATTCTGGTAGAAGGTGGACAGGTCTCCTTTCTGTTCTTTGGGACATAGGCTGATGGCTTCTGTGTAGCACTGGATGGCCTGCTCATATTTGCCAGCCTTGAAGTATTTGTTGCCCTTATTCTTCGCAGATTGTGCTCTGTCAAGGGGACTCTGGATGGGCAAACAATTATTTTAAATAAAACTATTAAGATTGCATGGTGAATAGAACAAATCTGCATGCTCTATCGTAGTGTGATATGATCTGTTCTATTGGTAGAGAAATACTTTGTGAAAAAGCTTTTTCATTTAATTCAGAACCGAAATTAACTAGAGCACTTATCAATTAACATACATAGTAACTTCCAACACAAATGTATACCACTGACATTAGAAAATGTGAAAAAAAATGTATATGCTGGTTAAACAAAGAGATGCAATTCATTTTTCAGAAGGCATGCAACATACAAGAAGTTCTCAAATCTGACATGATATGATAACATCAGCAAACAGATCAACACATACAATTCACTTAGTTGTGCTTGCCAAATTCTGTGCCACAAGCTCAGTTGATGTAAAAGAAGCCACTGAGATTACCAGGTATTGCAACAGTAAGCTTTTTACATGGTGATTCTGTGTGCATCTAAAGCATGCATTTTCCTTATGTACAAATGAAAGCACCAAGTCTTTTTTTTTTTCCATGCTGATGTTCCTGTAGTTCCTATATAGGCCTAAATGAAATAAATGAAAATTAAACTACACAAACATGTACCTTCTCAAAGGTCAACTTGTCTACAACCCTCCAAAAATTGCATAAAAATCCAAATCTCTGCATAAGACTCTTCCCCGTCTAGCTCTGGACTGGACAAATACCCCACTCCGTCTAATCCCAAAACAGAAAGGCGAGCTCCCTATTGAGAATGAAGTCTTAATTATATCATAAATAGTACAAAATGGGGCGGGTACCTGTATATGCATCCCATTTTGCGAAGTATATGTTAATGGAATTTTGTTGTTGGAATTATGTATTTCCAAGAACTCCAAATTGATTGTACGTGCTGTGGGTTCAATATTTTTTACGTAAAGTAAATATTAATAAATATTTATTATTATATTATATTTTAATAGCTTAAAGTTGACAATTTCCTAAACATTCTAACAGCAAAGCATCCAGCCAAAACGTCCTTAAACTATAGAAAAATGAACTGACATATAGTAAAAGAGGCAAGAGCCCTGCATCTATTAATCTGAGAGTATAATAAGTTATGAATATAATAAGTATCTTTTATTATTTGTTGTGTTTCAATTAACAACTTAACCTACCACTCTGAAAACGTTTTAACAAACATTAGCAAAAAGGGGTGTGGTATTTCTAGCACACAGTTTAAGCGGTGCTTAAGAGCGTTTGAGACAGACTGGGAAGAGAGGTGCTGCAATAATGTAGAATATGAGAAACATTATGTGATTTCTTAACAAACAAGCAAGAAAACCTATTCTAGAACACCTATAGAATAAAATAAAGACTTTATAAAATGGCATAATAGGACCAGTTCATGTAGTCTTGAAGTCTCTTACGATGCACATAAATACAACATATATGTTCCATAGCTGTAACTTGAGCAATTTCCACTGGCCCTAATATTTAATTTAGCTAAATGCATACATTTCTGTGAGAAATTCATGCATGTGTCATTAACCCAGGGTTCCCACACTTTTGACTACTGACTTTTCATGACCTTTACGGTCTTCGAGATTACTGAATAAGAATTTTTAATCACACTGATATGCAATATGATTAAAAACAAGTTTAACAAAAAAGAATCGAGTCAAACAGTCCACTCAGAAATAAACACTATAATGTTTCTTCTTCTTCTTACGAACAGAGATGAACTCCAGAGCTCGACCCTGACTATGTAATTGAATGAATACTATACCTTGCAGTCTCTAAGCATGCACAGGTCCATGTTCGACAAAAGTTTTACGTTTTAAATGTTGTTCAACTAGAGACGACGCTGTCAACACGAAGTGCAATAAAAGTAACAGATTAAAGACTAATAGATAACAAGGAAACTGTCACATGTGGCATTGCCTCAATCTGACTATCTCCCCGCCCTCCCATATAACACACACCACCAGAATTTAATTTAAAACCGCGACATTTAGGTGTATGATCAAAATATATTCCACATCAGGGTTATCAAACTAATGGCATTTGACTACCCTGTCAGTCAGACTGAACAGATTTTGATCAAATATGTTGTTTAGGAGCTCACGTTTGGAGGCTAGCTGGCTATTGCACATTCGCTAAGACGGGCTAGTTTGTCAAGCGGTGTCCTTGAATGGGAGTGCAGTGCAGTAATGTTAGGGTGTCAAGAAAATACATACAGGCAAAATGACAGGGTCACATATATAATATAATATGTTCTCTATAAGTGAAAAGGACCAGTTAGGCTTTATAATTGGGGACATTACCATGTTCTCCAGCTCTTGGTTAGTCGCACCGTGCTGGCCCTGGACAGGGCTAGCGCTTCCTTCGGGAGTTTTCCTCTCTCCATTCTTTTTCCCTTGCTTTCCCTTGCTGCGACTTCGGTTCCACAGGTAAACAGCTCCGACGCCTAGGACGATCGGTGTCCCTACTAGGAGTGCCAGCTGCCAGCGGGGGATCCCACTACCGGACTGAGGCTCTACGGGCTTCGACGCAGCCATCATCCACGCAGCAGCACTCACTCAGCTACGCGCAAACTCACACACGTTGCGTGCGTGCGCAACAACGATCCACCTCCTTTACAGAAGCTACTTGCTAGGTCACCGCGCTATAGCAGGTGGTATCATGGGATACTGGAGGACTGTACAGATTGTTAGCCACAATAACTATGGCAAGCCGTTTTAACTTTTAATCATTCGCAGGATATGAATTATTGATATCAACAATGCCATTTTTAATATCAAGAATTTAATTTTGTTGATATCAAGAATTCATATCCTGGAGATGAATAAAAGCTAATACGGCTTGCCATAAAGTGATCATCTCCTTCTTTTTCATGTGTGTTTTCAAATAGTTTCTTATTGGTTGGAGACAAAGATTCAAAATTCACTGGCCACTTTTGCTAGGAAACATAGGCTATTATTAAAAACATATGTTATTTTTATTAACGTAGCCTAATTTTAATTATGTGCATTTTTTTCATTCAGAAATGTAAAGGTATGAAGATTAAACATTTTCGGTATTCAAAAAAGACTTTATTTGTAATTACTTAATCCAGGGCTTGACATTAACTTTTTTGCTCACTAGCCAATGTGGCTAGTGGTTTTCCAATTTTACTAGCCACATTTTTGTTGTTTGAAAATTAGGTTTTATAGTTGACAATGGGGCTTAAAACTTGCTAAAATGTACTAATATTATCATTACAGTAGCTCTGATAAGGTTGTAAAGCTCCTTTTTTTTTTTTTTAAACATCCAACACTTGCTTTGCTTGTTTCTTAAACCTCAATGCTAGAGCGCATGCTTCGGAACTTTCGAATACTTGCTTTGTTTGTGTCTTGAACCTCAAAATCACATTTATATGCATTCCAGCTTTGACCTTAAAGGGTAACTAAACACCAAAACAACTTTTTTTAGTTAATGATCTGTAAGAATGGAGCTTCATAAATGCTGTTCATTGATTCGAGTACATTTTTTGACAATTGAGTATAAAGTGTTTTGATTTTCAAATATATGGTGTAAAAACGTCTGAGTGCTGCCCTCTTCAGGTTAAACGGAAAGCTTCTGCAGTAGGGGTACTTTCTGACGTAGCGAACTCTCAGACGCACTCTGTCACACCCTTGGTGCGAGCTCACCACGCCCTTGGCAGCCCCTGGTATAAAAGCATCTGGTTCCATCAAAACTACTGTAGCGAGTCAGGAGTTGGATTTATGAGTATTGAAAACGATCAGGATAGCATATATTAGCATCTAGTTAGCATAGCATTTATATAGTTATTTATGAAAACAATCAGGATAGAGTATTGTTGCATCTATTTGACATAGCATTATATAGATAATTTAGATTATTTTGTGTAGCTAGTAGCATAGTACGGTTAGAATAGCTTCAAGTTAGCATAGACTTATCAGTGTTTAGTACAGTGATCAGGATAGTAACGGAATAGAGGTGGACATGGGCTTCTCCACACAGCTGCACACGCAGTGCCAAACACTGCTCGTCCTGCATGGACTCCTCCACCGCAGCGGCGTCTTGATGTGAGTGATCATGGATATTTTAATCACAATTTATGGTTAGGATAAAGTTAATCCTCTGGGGTCGACAAACGAGCCGGTGTATTTTGCTGGATTTTTTCACATAGCGGCAGAATATAAATATGAATACATGCCCACAGAGCGTGCGCTATTGAGATCAACTCGACGACAAAACTCATCAGATGCCAGATGCCAGATGTCGCGATGCGGGAGTTAAGACCGCAGTTTGAGCCAGCGGCTCGAATGGATTTGGCCCTGTGTCTACATACAATTCACCCTCATCCACTTCAGGTGAAGGTGAGGGTGAGGGAGAAAAGTCTTCGACTTCAAATGTCCGCTCTGTTGCAAAGGCAGCTACTTGCGTCACTCCAGTCTCGCTCTATTTTAGAGTCTGACAGCAGCTGTCACTCACGGCGGGTCTCAGGTGCACGCCCCCTGGCCCCGCTGGGGTCTGCCCATTTTTTCAGCATTTTTCAAATATTGCTAGTGGGTGGAGTCAGGCTCTGACCAGGGGTTTAGTTACTCTTTAATAAACGGTACATTTTGATTTAAAGGCACATCTAGGTAAGTAACAGAACAAGCTTATCTTCAAGAGGGGATGTAGCTCAGGGATTGAACCCAGGACCTAATACATGCAAAGCATGTGCTCTACCACTGAGGTTTAAGAAAAAAGCAAGGCAAGTGATGGAAAGATCAACATTGCTTGGAGATGCTGGGGATTGAACCCAGGACCTCATACATGCAAAGCATGCGCTCTACCACTGAGCTACATCCCCTCTTGAAGATCAGTTTGTTCTGTTATTTACCTAGATGTGCCTTTAAATCAAAATTTAACGGTTATTAAGGTCACAGCTGGAATGCGTAGGAATGTGATTTTGAGGTTCAAGACACAAAACAAGTATTGGTAAGCTCCAAATTGCTTGGAGATGCTGGGGATTGAACCCACGACCTAATACATGCGAAGGATTTGCTGTACCACTGAGTTAAAGAAACAAGCAAAGCAAGTGTTGGAAAGATCAACATTGCTTGGAGATAATTGGGATTAAACCCAGGACCTAATACATGCTAAGCATGTGCTCTACCACTGAGGTTTAAGAAACAAGCAAGGCAAGATCAACATTGCTTGGAGATGCTGGGGATTGAACCCAGGACCTCATACATGCAAAGCATGCGCTCTACCACTGAGCTACATCCCCTCTTGAAGATAAGCTTGTTCTGTTACTTACCTAGATGTGCCTTTAAATCAAAATTTACCATTTATTAAGGTCAAAGCTGGAATGCATAGAAATGTGACTTTGAGGTTCAAGACACAAAACAAGTATTGGTAAGCTCCAAATTGCTTGGAGATGCTGGGGATTGAACCCAGGACCTCATACATGCGAAGCATGCGCTCTACCACTGAGCTACATCCCCTCTTTGTGACCAGTGTGTTCTGTTATTTACCTAGATGTGCCTTTATATCAAATTTTTTCGTTTATAAAAGTCAAAACTGGAATGCATACAAAAGTAATTTTGAGGTTCAAGTCAAAAGTAAAGAAAGTACTTGACAATTACACATTGCTTGGAGATGCTGAGGATTGAACCAACGACCTAATACATGCGAAGGATTTGGTCTACCACTGAGTTTAAAAACAAGTGAAGCAAGTGTTGGAAAGATCAACATTGCTTGGAGATGCTGGGGATTGAACCCAGGACCTCATACATGCAAAGCATGCGCTCTACCACTGAGCTACATCCCCTCTTGTCATTAAGCTTGTTCTTTTACTTACCTAGATGTGCCTTTAATTTAAAATTTACCGTTTATTAAGGTCAAAGCTGGAATGCATAGAAATGTGATTTTGAGGTTCAAGACACAAACAAAGCAAGTATTGGAAAGTTCCGAAGCATAAGCTCTAGCATTGAGGTTTAAGAAACAAGCAAAGCAAGTGTTGGAAAGATCAACATTGCTTGGAGATGCTGAGGATTGAACCCACGACCTAATACATGCGAAGGATTTGCTGTACCACTGAGTTAAAGAAACAAGCAAAGCAAGTGTTGGAAAGATCAACATTGCTTGGAGATAATTGGGATTAAACCCAGGACCTAATACATGCTAAGCATGTGCTCTACCACTGAGGTTTAAGAAACAAGCAAGGCAAGTGATGGAAAGATCAACATTGCTTGGAGATGCTGGGGATTGAACCCAGGACCTCATACATGCAAAGCATGCGCTCTACCACTGAGCTACATCCCCTCTTGAAGATCAGATTGTTCTGTTATTTACCTAGATGTGCCTTTAAATCAAAATTTAAAGGTTATTAAGGTCAAAGCTGGAATGCGTAGAAATGTGATTTTGAGGTTCAAGACACAAAACAAGTATTGGTAAGCTCCAAACTGCTTGGAGATGCTGGGGATTGAACCCAGGACCTCATACATGCGAAGCATGCGCTCTACCACTGAGCTACATCCCCTCTTTGTGACCAGTGTGTTCTGTTATTTACCTAGATGTGCCTTTATATACAATTTTTTCGTTTATAAAAGTCAAAACTGGAATGCATACAAAAGTAATTTTGAGGTTCAAGTCAAAAGTAAAGAAAGTACTTGACAATTACACATTGCTTGGAGATGCTGAGGATTGAACCAACGACCTAATACATGCGAAGGATTTGCTCTACCACTGAGTTTCAAAACAAGTAAAGCAAGTGCTTGAAAGATCAACATTGCTTGGAGATGCTGGGGATTGAACCCAGGACCTCATACATGCAAAGCATGCGCTCTACCACTGAGCTACATCCCCTCTTAAAGATAAGTTTGTTCTGTTACTTACCTAGATGTGCCTTTAAATTAAAATGTACCGTTTATTAAGGTCAAAGCTGGAATGCATAGAAATGTGATTTTGAGGTTCAAGACACAAACAAAGCAAGTGTTGGAAAGATCAACATTGCTTGGAGATGCTGAGGATTGAACCCACGACCTAATACATGCGAAGGATTTGCTGTACCACTGAGTTAAAGAAACAAGCAAAGCAAGTGTTGGAAAGATCAACATTGCTTGGAGATAATTGGGATTAAACCCAGGACCTAATACATGCTAAGCATGTGCTCTACCACTGAGGTTTAAGAAACAAGCAAGGCAAGTGATGGAAAGATCAACATTGCTTGGAGATGCTGGGGATTGAACCCAGGACCTCATACATGCAAAGCATGCGCTCTACCACTGAGCTACATCCCCTCTTGAAGATAAGCTTGTTCTGTTACTTACCTAGATGTGCCTTTAAATCAAAATTTACCATTTATTAAGGTCAAAGCTGGAATGCATAGAAATGTGACTTTGAGGTTCAAGACACAAAACAAGTATTGGTAAGCTCCAAATTGCTTGGAGATGCTGGGGATTGAACCCAGGACCTCATACATGCGAAGCATGCGCTCTACCACTGAGCTACATCCCCTCTTTGTGACCAGTTTGTTCTGTTATTTACCTAGATGTGCCTTTATATCAAATTTTTTCGTTTATAAAAGTCAAAACTGGAATGCATACAAAAGTAATTTTGAGGTTCAAGTCAAAAGTAAAGAAAGTACTTGACAATTACACATTGCTTGGAGATGCTGAGGATTG